CGTAGGGGGGGGGGGGGGGGGCGGGTTCGAGAGCGTGGGTGAGGGTGGTAGCGTATTGTAAGAGTGGTGATAACTTGAAAGGTGTGGGCGCAGTTAGATCTGGGCGTAGTGGACTCGAGTGATTGACTACCATGGCCAGCGGGAGGGAGATTGAATGGAGATCGAGGAGACATGGGAATGGAGAATGAAGAACATCGTGGCGTATACGTTGATGCGTCAGAAGGTTATGAGAGATTAGGTTTGATGAACGGACCAAGGATGATTTTCTGATTCAAAGATCGTAGTAGATGTACATGAAAATGCCTCATTGATATACAAAGAATGTCTGTCCATCGACAGAAAACCATCTATCTATCCATCACATCCATCACATCCATCACATCCATCACATCCATCACATCCATCACATCCATCACATCATCAACACCACTCCAAATATGCATTTCATCCTCTCCTACCATTGACTCAAGAGCTCTACTCCACTCCACTCCACCCACTCCACCCACTCCACAGCATCTCGCACATATCAAACAAAACACCAGCCTCATTCCCCTTACAGTTCAAGCGAACGGATATAGGCAAACAAAAGCAAAAGCAAAAGGAAAACAAATGACTGTGGGTATCAATCCACCAAATCAAGCTATCATTAGAATAGAACTCTCTCATCTCATTCAACCATCTTATCATATACAATACAGACAAACGAAAACCCAGGAAACCAAACACCGAATTTCTATAAAACCCTCCCTCTATGCATCACATTTTGTCCCTGGTCGCAGCATTTTTAATTCAAATGAGTGTGGAAGCGTATGTCATTTTATCGAAGAAAAGCGGAACGAACTTCTCAATAAAGAGAGTTTATATCCAATCACTCTTGCCACCACCTTGAACCGTCTTTTCTGGTTGAGATATCGGACTGCCTAGAGGATTTCCCCGCAATGGGTTCTTGGGCATTGTAGCGCTCTCCGGTGTTTGCGCTGTCTTTTTGTCGGGTGAGTAGACGGTCGGACTTAATTGCGTATTTGATTCGTTGAGGCGCGAGATGGGAATATTTGCTTTCGGTGTAGGTGGTAATGTTTTATTAACATACGTTGGGCTTTTGGTAGGTGATACTGTGCTGATGTTTAACGGGCTTGGTCGCAATGGTGATCGGGGTAGTGATGAGAAGTTGAAGCTTTTGATGTCGAGAGACTCAGGCGTTTGTGGGCGAGTTGCGTTTGCGTTATATGTTGTTGAAGGAAGAGGGAGAGTCGGCAGATCTTCTTCTGATAGTTCGGGGGCATGCGATAATCGTAGTCCGATTTGCACCGTTGCCGAAGATGCCATTGATGAATCTCTTCTGTGATTTGTTCGGGATCCAGGTCCGAAGATTGGAGGTGGGGGTGTTAGATCGCTAATGTCGTATATGGAGGTTGGCTCTTGTTGCCGTGTTCCTGGTACGGTAAGAAGTTTGTCTGGACTTCTCTCCGGGGGAAAGAGAGAATATGAAGGTTTTCGTGCGTGTGTATGCGCTGCTGGTGCGACGGTTTCATAGGCAGACTCAGAATTGGTGAAAGTCTTTGGCTCGATCGCACTTGATGCTAAATTGTTGTTGTATCGAGCTGGTAATTCGAACGGCGGGCTCCGCACCGATTCCATGCTTATAACTCGCCCAACTTCCTTTTCGAATCCTACTAAACTTGACCGACTGTCTGATCGACTAGCAAGGTTCCTTGGTGGCGATCGAGGTCCAGATAATGGGTCCATCAAGTGATTGTTGAATACCAATTCGTTAGGCCCCCACATTCGGATCTCATGCTTCTTGCGATCCTTTAGGCTTCTTGGACCAAATGAAGTCGTGGCTGTGTTTGCGCGAAGGAATAATTGCAAGAGGCCGCTGATCAATCCCGACAAATTGACAACCACCGTTGCCATCATGGACAATTTCAAATCCCCGTTTCCTGGGCCATTCTGCACGAGCGAACCGAACCATGGAATGACAAACGCCTTTAATCCGTTAGCAAGCGTAGCGCCCAAGTAGTTTAAATTGACCCACCAAAGATATTGTCCCCAAGATAAGATAGTAGACCATTCGCGACGCAGCAATTCTTTGATGCTCATCAATCAGCTTCACCGTCGACAGCCTGAAGAATATTATAATAGCACTGATCATCATCAATGAAGCAGTCATTGTCAATAATATCAGCCCATCCATCCCGAATCTCGTGATAAACCACATTAATGAGGCGAAGCAGCTATCCGGCTCTTTTGTCAGATTGGAAGGGATCCAAGTTACCACCAACATCACCACGACGAGCACAATATATATCTTAACGTTGTGGTTTCCCCTCGCTTGGAATGGTCGAGGTCGTAGAGATCGGACAGCACATTCGATTCCGAAAACGAGTTGAATATATGGCACAATGAATAATGCTTAAAACGTCAGATCATATCCATAAACAATTATGATGTACTTACCAGGCCACATAAACTGCGCGGTAACTGAACATCCAGTTGTAAACAACGATGTGAGGCCCTGCCCCTGCACAGCAGCAAAAACAATTCCTTGAATAACGATTCCAATCGCCAAGATTAATGGAAAGGTCTCTGCTGGGTGTATCGTCCGTATACAAAATTTTCTGCCTATTGTCAATATCAATTTCCTCAAACAATCTCATTGTACATACGATGCCTTGAATTTTGGATTACATCTCTTGTACGCAAAGTAACAGTCGTATACTATACTGCATGCCGTTGCAAAAGCAGCTAGTATATTGAAAACCGCGAGAATGATTGTCGAAGTCCGAACCGACTTGCTTTCTGCAAAGACAAGCTTCTGAATCAGGAGTCCCGTCGCATTAGACCTCGCGGACTTGGATGTCTCCGCCATTGTGAAATTCAACCCTTTCGTGACATTCTTCGACCGCTCCATGAGCAATCTCGCAGAGGACGCCATAATGCCTTTGGTAATCGAAATCTCTCCAGAATTAGTACGAGTCGATCGAGGCAACGAGCCGTAGCGTTTGCGTATGCTGTAATGTTAAATCATGAAGACCAAGTTGTTTGTCCTGTCCAAGGAGTGTCGTGTAAGTGAAAAGAGGCCTCAAGTGTGAGGAACGAACATAAGGATTACAATAGTATCCCAGACCGGTGGGAAAGTAATATGAAACAAAGATCTGAACCAGCAGTGGTAGTAAAAGAAACCCAACGAGTGGAAAGAGCGTAACGACAAACTGACAGCAAAAACCTGAAAGAATGTCGAGACACTTCGATCTACACTGGTACGGGCATTGCATGAACTATAAGAAAAAAGACCATGCAACCCTCCGAGCCACACCAAATGGTCCTGGCGCGGGTGAAGTCGAGTCCGGTATACTAGGACCGTCCTGGTAGAGGTGGGGGGCTGGAGCTGCACAGACTTGGAGGGGAAAGCCGTCACCACTGGTCGTAGGTTTCAAGCTTTTGGTGGAAGACCTGGTATGAAAGGGAGGTTCACTCCTCTGAGCCACAAAATTTAGAGACGAGGGTGCTGCCATGACGTTTGGCCCTCTAATCAAGCCAATGAGCAAGGCTGGATGAAAGCATTCTAGCCCGACTTGGGTCATTTGCGTAGCCATGGTGTGCTTGGGACGTTCTTATCACTGAAGGCATTCCCCGACAATTCGAGTATGAAGGCATTGCTGAAGCAGATTCTAGGTTTCGTTATGGTCGCAGATCATCGCTTAGACCCCTGTAACCGTGGATGGCTATCCGTAGTACGAAAGCTCATGCAAGATGATAACTGGCGAGTAAGCAGCCGGTAGGAGAAAAAAAAAGCTTCTATAATCCTTACCAAGGTATGCTATGAGTAGTGATTAATATCTGAGCCCGCGATTCTGCAATGTGAATGGGTAAAGGCATGAAAAGCTCTCCATAATCGAAATGCGGCCCGCGTGGCACGAGCATACCAGTGGTCTGATATCAAAGATCTCCCATCAGAACCACACTATCGAGCTCAAAACTAATTGATCAGCATGTAGAGCTCTCTGTGGACTCGAAACTTCAAGTCAAGCCTTATTCCGAGATACGAATATCGATGCAGCAGAGAAGCCAAAGATGTCACGTAGGATTTTGCAGGCGCCGGAGGCGATGCCCCAAAACTGCTGACAGCTGCAGCCACAATTAAATCCGATCGCGAAGGGGAAGCGGCAATGAAACGAACGGAAAGCGATAATGTACGCAGTAGTTTGTCCAGTCGATCGGCACCTGTGAATGTTCGGGTAGTATATGGTTCCCCACTGGGAACCTTGCTGGCGTGCTGGTACAGTATGAAGCACGGGCGGTCTCAAGTTATGAAGTGAAACTTCTCAACGACATCCACATGGCCGCCACAGGCAGCCAAGTTCTGCACGCACCGGCGTGGCTAGAAACAAATCTCGAGCGTTTATTTGAATATATACAACACGGATTCGACTCGCATACTTTGAAGCGTAGAGGGCGGACTGGACTGATGAAATGGTGTGATGTTGAAGAAACTGGATGGTGGAGAAAACATTGCGACAAATCCAAGTACTCGTAACCCCTCGCTTATGCACGTGACCTTTGTACCTCTTCTTTTCTTGATTCAAACCCTTTTGAATCAGCAAAGCAACGACACACGATTCACGAATAGAATCCTTCTCCCAAAGATGACTTGAAGATCCCATCTTGTCATACCTCCGTATGACAGGCTTACAATATCTCGGAGTTTTAAACCCATTCCTTTCATTTCATATTTCCACGAGCGAGCCATTGAAGGACTTGCTGGTCATTACTGTACATAGATGCAGTCCAAATGAATGTAACTTTGGGACTCGCTTCCAGGCAAAAAACCTCGTTCGCCACGCCAGGAGTTACAGCCATTTAGGTCGCACCTCTGTACCTGCCTGTCCGGGCCGCCAACACCTCCTCTGTTTCTACTACTCTGTCCCTGAACATGTTCCCCCAGAGTACTGTATCAGCCACATCCGTGAATTCGTTCATGCAGGGTTGAGCCTGGGTATACTTCCGATAGATCACGTAGTGCAGTGACTCGTCCCAACTTTCAAAGCCCGCGGCCGCGTGGTTACAGCAGCAGACTAGCAAATCTTCTTCAGCTCTTAGAATAGTTTCCGGGTCTGGACTCTCTTACAATCTCAAGCTGTCGTCCAAATAGGCTAAAAGGTTGTACACAATTCATATCTATCACGGGATTGACTAATCAGACATTCAGATCCATCTGGTGTCCAGTCTTCACGCAATCGCATAAGTTTTACTAGGTAAGTACCCCCCTATTCAAATACAATGCGGCATACCCCCATCTTAAGCTCATCCCGCTGTTAGTACCTGCAATATAACTTCCACTACTGTATCTCCATGCCTGCCTCACATCTCCAGTCTAACAAAAAGCTTGGCATGCTCGTCTCCGCGTTTTCATCCGCTATCCGGCTTCCGACAGGACTCCTGGGCATGAAAGAGTTATATTACTTCTCTCCTAATTCAGTCTATTCTGCTCCCGTCTTATCTTATGGTCCGAACTCTTCATTTTCACCTCGTGGGGTTCGTCCCGTCTCTGTGTGGACTGAATATTTCCCCACGAGGGCGGGTGAGAGGAAGTCTCCGGGTCTCATGATGGGTAGACAGTCGTCGGTTTTTTTTTCTTGTTCACGTTCGAGGTTGAGTCTCATAATAGCTGAATGATGTCACTTTAATATCGCGAATTAGTGACAATAAATTTGTCTAGTAGGACCTTCCTTTGTTGACTGCATTGTCCGAGGCTTCTATTTGGTAGGCGTTGCTTTGAATGTTGAGATACTGGCGAATATTTTGATGGACACAGGTGAAGCAAATAATGCTTTACACTTTGACAGTCACATCATTGGAAAACCTACAGAGCTTGAGCTCAGCTCGTAGAAAGATGCATTGAGGAGATTTAACTTGTATTGCCAGAAGTAGAGCAAGTGCTTAGGTGATGACAGGACATTATTTGGAAAAGCTATGTGAGTGGAACTTAACTAATAGATATTACAGTAATATACAATCTCGCTCAATCCATTCAAACCCTACACAAGTGTGCAACTTGTCAATTGCTCCAAAGTTGGCTTGACAGAGTCAGCCACGTGACTGCTTTCCTATCAACGCAACACCTCTTGAAAGAAGTCTGTGACTCTTCTGCAAACTGGCTCTTATTCGAAAGAGAGAATAAAATAATCACCATCCAAATTGTGTGTGTTCATCTGCAACCAAAGTGCCACTCAATTCCTTGGGATCGCCCTCAGTCGCAGCTCGGATAATAGGCTTAGCTCCATCTACAGCATCTTTCATGCCCTGTCCCCCATTCATTCCAGTACGACAATAGCCAGGCGCCGCACCAACAACAGCAATGCCCTCATCGGCCAGTAGGACAGAGTTGAGCGCCGTCAACATGTTCACTGCCGCCTTACTGCTGCGGTATTGATGCACCCCGGCTTGGGCATTGGCAGCAGTTCCACGAGCCAACGCCATTGAAATGCGGCCTTGGCCGGAAGAGACATTGACGATGCGACGGTCGTGGTATTTTGATGCTCTGAGTAGTGGTAGGAAGGCATCAATGACAACAGCGACGCCAAAGACGTTCGTCTCGAAGACGGCGCGGAAGTTGTCCCGGATACTCAATCCGGGCGCACCGGTGGGGATACCAGCATTGTTGATCAGGATATCGAGTGAGCCGTATTTCTCTTTCACCACTTTTGCTGCATCTTGAATCGAAGTGTCATCGGAAACGTCGATGCTGACTGGAGACACTGCCGCAGCTTCAACTGGATATTGTTTATCGCCAAGCAATTGCTGGATTGCAGTGTCAGCCTTTGAGGTCGAGCGTGAGCCCAGCAGAACATGGAATTTGCCAGAGGAGGCCATTTGCTGCGCTATGGAGAATCCAATACCCTGGTTGGCTCCCGTGATGAGGACGAGTGCTTTGGAGGCGGCCATGTCGAAAGTTGAGGTTGCTAAAATTGTTTTTGATGTATCTTGGGGATCAAATGAATCTTGCGAGAGCTTTGGATATGCTCTCTCTCTCTCTCTCTCTATATATAGGACTGGCTCCAGAGAGTCAACTAGATATCGGAATCCGATCAACTCCACGACGCTAAAATTATCGGATACGGAATAGATGGAATTTAGGCCGGGATATAAGGCTGCGAGCTAAAATCGGACCAGAATATGGAGTTAACACGGAGTTTTTGACTCAGACTATGGATAACAAATGCAAGGACGCCAGGTATTATAATGATATATATATATATATCTAAAACTCAGAATAATTGTACTCGTCTAATGAGAAATCGACGCAGACGGAAAAGATGAGAAGCAAAAGCAAGCAATGAGTAAGTACAAAAGCTATAAAAAACACACCTTCCTCACATCCTATACCGGCTATTGTAGTGTACCGCAATGAATGTCGGCCTAGTGTTGCGCTGTATAAGAAATTAACTTTTGCCTGGGATTGGTATAAGTCCCAAAACCTCGGAATTGGGATATAAAATCTTCAACTATGGCGCGAGCCCTTGCAACGCACGTATATTGATCCTACTTTGTTTTCTTTTCACCTTCCTGACATGTATCCAAACCTTCTTTCGTAATGCTGAACGTGGTGTGGCCCTCCTGACCAAGAGCCATAATCCCATCGCGAAACCTAAACGCATTGCCCATATCCTGGAACGCAACCCACAATGCATAGAGCGGAATAAATACCCAGAGCATATTGAAGAATACCAGATACACCCACATAAACATAAAGTTGCTCCCATCAAGGTTCAAGTTCCCAGTCAACCATTCGGGCGCAAAGGTCATGAATCCTATACCACAAGAATTAGCAACCTAGCCGGCCTGCCGGAACGAGAAACTTACCTCCATATATCTCTCCCGTAGCCAATACAACCATCCAGAAACTAACCCTCCAATCCCTCTTCGCAATCCCGTAACAGATCCACGCCGCCAGCGGCCCCGCCAAAAACACCGTCAAAAGCTCCAGACTAATAACGGTTAGATCTGCTTGTGCCCACCTCCTATCGGCCTGCGCATAGACCATCCACAGCTTCGTAGCCCAATTATCGCCATACGCCGCGCCAAACACCCGATCACTGCGGCCCAGGAAGTTCGTTATGAGCGCGGGGTGTTGTGTCGCGGGGTGAAGGGCGCGGAGGTGAAGAAGCAGTTGTAGAGGAAGGACCCTTCGAAGATGGTGTGGATGAGGAAGTCGAACGCGTGCCAGATGAAGAGGATGCGGAAACGTGGGGCGGTGGAGGGCGCGAGGACTCGGAGAGATACTGCATAGGAGGTTCCTAGGATGAGGAGGACGGCGAGGAGGGACGTGATGGTTGTGCTGTCGAGATGGTCCATTATTGAGCCTGTCGCTGCGGGTTTCGTGATGGCTTCAGCGGCAGCAATTGGGATGCCGAGGATGCCGAGAAGGCCACTGATGAGGAGTGACAGGGGCATTGCAGAATACATGATCTTGGAGCTTGGCTATAAAACTGTTGTGATTATAATTGGACTATTGTTGATGTTTCTTAATGTGCTACTTGTATTGATATCGTGGTGGCTGGATTGAGCTTGTGTAAATTACTTTTGGCGTTCATTACCCCGGATTTACCCCTGTAAAGCTCTTCCCTCCTCTCGTATTCATAGGCAGGCGCTAACTTCACCTATCCTAGGGGCTACCTGCTAACCGAAGGAGATCACTAACCTCCAGTCGTATATTCGTATTCATACTCTACATAAAGTACAACGGAGTTATCGGAGTATGGCAGCAAAGCCACCAGAGCTGTGCCAGAAGAGATTTTAGAGAGGTAAACTAATTAAGATGTGTATATGTATATAAATTCCCAGAATTCCCAGAGGTTATTTGTGTCCTCAGAGCCAGTTTGAAGTTTCCATTGCGCTTTTCTTACCTTCATATATTGTAATATCTACGGATCGGAGTACCTAGTCTCAAGATCGCTTTACCTTTCTACTATAATACCGGCTGCAGAAAATGGTGTCTCTCACCGAGGTCCAAGCCTCGAACGCAAAAATCGCATCTTATTTTCCTCCAGGACTTGTCGCTGTCTTCGTCGGTGCTACCAGCGGCATTGGGTTCGTCCATTCTTCTTCAAGCCGAGCCGAGTCTCCAAGAGCTGTCTCGGTGGACTGGCTCTTTAGCTCTATCTCAAGACCTGTAACCTTTCAAGCACCCTACTAACACTTCCTAGCGAGACGTCACTGAAGCAATTCGCGAAGCACAGCTCAGCACCACGGATCTACTTTATTGGCCGGTCACAGGAAGCCGGGGATCGCATCACAGCAGGATTAAACAGCTTGAATGGAAAGGGACAATACACGTTCATCAAAGCGGACGTGAGCTTGATTCGAGTCGTGGATGATGTGTGTCAGGATATCAAGAGCAAGGAAAAGGCCATCAACCTTCTCGTCATGAGCCAAGGAACGTTCGTCCTCGGCACTGGTAAGTCAGTCAAAGCCAAGTTCAGCTCAGTCTAGCTCACATGCAACCTCTCGATCTCTCCATGCTATCCACATACCGTGAGACCATCTACAAACGCTATGCTAACCACCTACAATACAACGTCCAGAAACAACAGAAGGTCTCCACATGGCCATGTCCCTAGCCTGCCACTCCCGCAACCGCTTCATCCTGAACCTCCTCCCGTACCTCCACCGCGCCGCCCACCTCCGCCGCGTAATCTCCGTCCTAGGCGCCGGCCACGAAGGTCCGATTTCCTCATCCGACTTCCAGAACCGGCAAACCCCCATGCGACGTTCGCGCGGGCACATGAATTCCATGGCCACGCTGTCCCTCGAAGCCATCGCGGCCACCGCCCCAGACGTGTCGTTCATCAACGGCTTCCCGGGCCTCGTGGACACTGGATTGCTGAGGGGGACCACGGGACCGCTGATGTTCGCCGTGAGGATAGCGTTTCGCGTCATGATGCCATTCAGGGCGATTCCGAATCTGGAGGTTGGCGAGCGCTTTGATTTCCTGGCTACGAGTGCTAAGTACCCGTCGAGTGAGGGAGGGGATGCCGGGGTGCCGATTGCGGATGGGGTTGAGGTTGCGAGGGGAACGACGGGGGAAGTTGGGAGCGGGGTTTACTCGCTGGATCAGACGGGAGAGAGTTCGGGGCTGGCGGTTGAGGCGGTTCTGGCGCAGATGAGGGCGGAGGGGATGGTGGAGAAGGTGTGGGGGCATTTTGAGGGGGAATTCAAGAGGATTACGGGAGTTGTGGCGGTTTAGATAATATGTTATTTGTTCGGGCAGATCTGTGCTCGGGCGTTGTCTTTTAATGCTCGCGTTCTCGGGTTTGCTATTGGGGAGAAATGTGTAACTGGTAGTAATAGCTGTATGTAGGAGGGAATTTTACTAACGATTTGTGTTATGAAATCAGCTATTTAAGTCGATACTTTTCCGTGTTGATTCAAGGGCGAAGGGGACAGGTTTTATTAAGGTGATCATAGGCATGAGAACGTTTGCCATTAGATCCTCATCAAAGATAACACTTATTCCATACATCATACACAATACCTCTGATTATCGCTCAGCTACCGTAAGTCGTGTACTTGTCCTAAGAACGAACTCTGGAGTCATAACAGCGCGTATACGTAGGTAGATGACAAGTTCTGGTTCGTGTCAAGCAAGGAAAGGCGACGGTTGTTATATGTATGTGCTGTTGGGTTGTTGGGAAGGTTGGCTGAGCAGGTGGTAATGTGTAGCTTTGAAATGGTGTGCTTGGGATGGTACTTATTATATTGTTAGGAGTCTGCCAGGGCCGGTTGCTTTCGTTGCGTGGAAGTTATCCGGGAACGGCTCAAGCTCTGCGGCTCGGATACACACCATAATTGAATCTGCAAAGCCAGAAGCACAACGAGCCATTTCGGGTTGGGTAATCGAGAGTGGCGAGCAGCAGAAGGTGCCAGATATATATTTATTTGAAGACTTATTACAACATCGAAGAGTCACAATGTTACAGAAGCAGTTCATATGTAGGAGTGCAACGTCTGAATTTGCAATGTTATCAGGGTATTGTATCACTATGTATCTCTCCCTCCCTAGTATCCCAGACCATGCCACCCATCCCATACGCCGATGCGAAAGATCTCAAGCAGTCATCCGAGGAGTCATGTCGAAAGTGAACCGAGGAGTATCGGCCTAGTGCTTGAACGCCTCTGTCGTCGCAGTACAGTCAGTCTTCTAGTTCTTGGCAGATTCTGGAAAGCAGAGGGTAAGCAGGGTGTGGGGAGCAGTGCGAGAGGACTGTAGACTAACCCTTGTGGACCTCGGCCTTGGTGTCGTGGGACTTCTGGTCGAACTTGTCTCCAACAGAGTCCTTGGCAGCGCTGGCGCGGGTACCGAGGGATGCGTCAGATGACTTGGCGGTCTCCTTGTTGGCCTCGTGGGAAGCCTGGGCTCCGGCACCTTGGATGGACTCGGAGACGTAGTTGACTCCGTCCTGAGAAGCATGTTAGTTGATGATCTTGCGTGGAAGAAGAAGGCTGATGCCAGTGGCGACTCGATGCTGACTATCGGATCTTGAAGTTCGGAGAGCAGCTTACCTTGATGGTTTGGGTGATGTCAGACATGTTGATTGATTGAAGGTTGATTGGGTTGTTTGTGTGTGTGTTTGGTATGTGTGTTTGAGGTTGCTGTTGATGAAGGGAAGATGGTTGACGATGGAGGGGAAGGTCCTTTAAGTACCCCTCCTAGCTCTCTGAATGAAAGACCCCGCTTGAATTTAATACGTCATCGGCCGACTAATGGTGTCAGTCAAACGCCATTCACTCTTGTCAATGAGCCGCCTGTAGGCGTTCGTTCTTTCTTCCTTCTGAACACGGTTACTCAAAGGAGACAGCCCCTTTGAGCTACGTCAGCGGGGTCGACGGAAACGGGCCGCTAATTGGCTACTCTAGCGAGTGCCCCTCCAAGCTCGAGACGTCATACCCCTCAATTGCCACAAACGACTAGGCACTAAGCTGGATCCGGTCATAAGCATCATGGAATTGTTGGTTTGGCTGTGGCTGATGCCAAGTTTTGCACCACATTTTGTGTATGCCTTTTCACGATGGCTGCCATGGGCAAATTGGACTAAGTAATAGCGGCATCGGTGACGGATGCAGACCCCGGTATGTCTTTCGCTGTGGATTGAAAAATGATCATGGAGTCTTCTGTTGATTGGAGGAAGGAGGCGAGGAATGGGATTGGGATGTCTCTCTGGTCTCTTTACGTAGTGTAGTCTCAAGGAGAGAAAACTCCGGGACGTATATCACTCTCCCCCTCCCCAGATCTCTTCACATGACAAGAAAGGATTCGTACTCAGTACTGTACGTACTAACTACAATTGCGCAACCCCGCAAGCCTATGCCTGCCTAAGCTATAGGTAAGTACCTAGGTATCTACCTAATCATGCAAGCTGCACATCAACCAGGAATTCCCGATTTTCACTTTCCGATCGATCTTCCTTGCACTCCGTATGCTACTTATGCTATGCTATGCTTCCCTTACGTGCTTTGCCGCTGCACTACTACTCCCTTGTGATCTCAGCCTGCATGGTCCGCGAACGGATGGGCTGGCCCAGATGCTTTAGTTTGAAGTGCTATGTATGCCGTGCCGCGGCTGCTGCATCTTTTGGTGGGGTGGGGGCCGGGAATCTCAACATCTCTCAGCCGGTGGGCGGTCACGAGCATGGTATCATTGCGGCAATGGGAAATACAATCAAGTGATTTTGCTATACATGTGTAAGTATTTCGATTGTACTTGTATATGGAGGAGCGGTTTATACTGGTACAACAAGAGTGAGATCTTCTTCTTATAATCAGCGCCATTTATAGTCCAATCCTGAACTCCAGTGCTCCAGTGCTCCAATGCAATATCTTTAGCCATCCAGGAAGTATATCCTCCAATTCTTAGAGTTGAGTTTTCAAAGCAGTTTTCCGCTTCGGGGTTGCTGTGTCAAAGCCTCAGAATCTCCCCGCCTTGTTTGATGCCCCCCCTAAACAAGTCTTCAATGACTTTCCCACCAAGTACGGTCTCTTTCACAATACCCTCTACGTGTTTAGGTTCGACCCTGCCATACCAAATCCCACAACCTGCCAATGGATTTTCTTTCCCATCTGCCATTCGCATGCCCGGTGGAATGTACAGAATAACATTCCCAGCAAACTTATGCCCCCCAATATGACTTATCAACCCAACCTTCGCAGTCTCCCCAGGCCTTCTAACCTCTTCTTCCTCCCTTAGCACCTTCCTCTCCTCATCTTCTCTAGGACCCTTGACCACCACCGGCCCGTTCCGTATGCCTATATCCTGCTTCTCCAACAGCCTCTCGAAATCCAGTTTCAGCACTGGACCAATTACCCCGCATCTAGCATCCCGCCCTCCGTGACCACATATGAGGACCAAGACATCCTTCACGTCTTGCACTCCGTATAGCAGAGCCTTGGCTTCCTCCTTCCTTAGCAACCTGTCCTTGTGTATCGGCGAGAGGTTGTCGTGTGCAGGGTTGAGCTTCGTTGGTAGCAGATGTCCCTGGACTAACGCTTGAACGGCGTCGAAGGATACTCGAGGTAGGAAGGGGACGTATTTGAATGATGGGAAGAGGTATGCGGATGAATTTTGAATCTCTTCTCTGCCGGGCACCGTTGAGGGAAACGAGGAGTTTGTAACAGAAATGTTATGGTACGGCTAAGGACTGTTTAGTAAACCATCTCCCCCTGAAACGTAGCTGGGCATACATCAGCATACGTCCCTCCTCTCCCGACCAATTCCTTTAGATCCGCAGCCAGGTTATCTCCTGAATTCTCCTCTTCGATTTTACTCGACCAATCTTCCTGGCCTGTACAGATCAGCACTTGCTCTGCGTATGGCGCCATCGTGCCATTGAGGGCTGTCTTGTAATCGATAGGCAGCCGAGGGGGTAGCTCGGGCATCGCAGAACAGGTACATGTTGCATTTGGACATGTTGGTGTAGTAGGGAAGGGTGGCGGTCTAGGAGGGATTGCGTAGTGACGACGAGGACGAGCGACTCGCAGACGCCATGTTGACCGGGCTATGGGTCGTAAGGACATAAGGAGAAATGACGGGAGAAGATAGTTGAGCTCGTGGGTTGTGAAGCTTTCCGTATCTTATCAGATATGATGTCTCGTAGCTCTTCCGGCTGCCGTACTGTACATGCAGGAAAAGGAGGTGGACATACATAATACATGCTCCTTTAGTCATCGGGCAGTCATGCCTCGACTTCCTCATTCACTCTTATTGAAAGCCTACAATATCTCTCCCCTCTTACCGTTAGTACTGCAAGGCACCAGAAGTCTTCCGTCTGCTGTCAATGAGCTCCGTTGGCTACGAGAACATGTTCTCAAAACAAACAAACCCACCCCAACAACACAGAAAGAACTTTTGAGGCTCTGTAAACGACGTGCTCATAGCGAGCCTTTGCAATATATTCTTGGCTCCCAGCCTTTTGGAGAGCTGGATATCAAGTGCCGGCCTGGAGTGCTCATTGCAAGGTTGGTTTCAATTCGATATCACGTGACCATCTAACGTTTCCAGACCTGAACCTGAAGCATACACGACATACCTGGCGAAGCTTCTACTCAAGGGATCAAAGGGTGATCGCGGCTTTGAGTTCGATGAAAGGAAACCACTTCGCATCCTGGACTTGTGCACTGGAACCGGCTGCATATCCCTCCTTCTATACTCCCTCCTCGTGAAAAGGTTTCCAGGCGTCCAAATAAACGGATGGGACATCTCCCCCAATGCCGTATCTCTCGCGGTAGAAAACCTAAAGACAAACATCTCGAAAGGACATTTGAAAATCCACCCCAGTCAAAAGCCACCACCAATCCAATTCGACCAAGTCGATATCTTCTCGCGCTTCAATCGTGGACAGAAGAAACAGCTGCACTGCGACATCATCGTTTGCAACCCGCCATACATCTCACAAAAAGCTTTTACGCAAGACACGGGTCGCTCTGTGCGGAAATGGGAACCAAGACTAGCCTTAGTGCCAGAAGTAGAAGTCGAGGGCTATGATGGCGTCAAGGCGGAAGATGTATTTTACCGCCGACTCATCGACCTCCATACGCGCTTTGCTCGGTCCAAACTGCTGGTTATGGAAGTCGGGGGTGATGCGCAGGCACTTCGGGTCGCGGGCATGGCATTGCAGGATGAGTTGCCGAGTCGTAGGGACACGGTTGAGATCTGGAGGGACTGGCCAGAGTCGAAGAATGGGCTGGAGGGGAATGGGAGGGTGGTCGTGGGTGGAAGGGTTGTGGGTGTCAAGGGGATGGGGCATATGAGAGCTGTTGTTGTGAAATCACCGGATTATGTGTGGTCCAAGGACGGGGCTGGGCTGGCTTCACGGTGATGAGGCACACATATCCACACCCCCGCCACGATTGTGATTGTACTTATAACCCCGGACAGGTCCTTTCAAAGCTTGTAGTCTTTGAAATAAAATGGTCTGTTTTATTAATATATTAATTAGAATTCTGTTGGCATCACAGGTGTTGATATCGTGATCACTTCTCTACGTAGTATAGACTTGATTCTGGATATCAACACCTGTGGTACCAACACTGATCAGTGATTGACCTCGCAGTCAGTCACAGAGCAGCAAGGTTTCGATACAGAAGAGATAGAGAAAAAGCGCTAGCACATACTTAGAGGTACGACAGAGTCTACGATAAGAGCATCATCTACGAAGCCGTCAAGATCAAGACGACTTCATTTCATACCTCTTATTTGAGCGCTAGTGAACCTCCTCTCGCAGCAACATTAACCAGAATCAAGTCTATACTACGTAGTAGAGAAGTGATCACGATATAAACACCTGTGATACCAATAAAGTCTAATTTAAATACTAAATAAACTTTATTTTTTATACTATTATATTGTTTTTATTAGTATCACAGGTGCTAATACATATAATATAATCACTTCTCTACTATATAGTATAGAATTAATTCTAGTTAATAATAATTTATATTTAGGTGGTATTATAGATATAAAGAGGTAATACCTCTTTACTAACTAAGCTATACTAAATTATATAAGCTAGATTATATAACTAGAAAGGTTAGAGAGGATCCTAGAGCGGATCCTAGAGCGGATCGTATATCCTAACAGTTTTAGTATTTGTAATTAATAACTTATATTATAATAAGCGAAGAAGGATTTATTACTCTTATCTAATTTCGTATTCATAGTTCGCTAGTCGTATTTTATTGCTTATTATACAGAGGTCATGTGAAGTGTAGCGTTCTTCTAGAAATTTCCATAAGCAGCTGCATAGCTGCTTACGCTCTACCGTGAACTGCCAAACCATCGTTCTCATCCTCTAATATCGACCATCATCGCAGCAAGCTATGAGCAGGCGCTAAAGAACGCGGCCCGCGATAGAATCACTATCTGTCTATCATCCTACGTAATATAAGCTTACTTCCCTCCAAAACACTCAAACTGCAAACGCTATGCAAAGGGAAATGAACCCAGGTTTCCCTTCTTGCACCGTTTGTCGCAATTTGGACTACTAATTGTTCGAACCTGGCGATGAGTATTGCGCAAAAGATGATGGAATTAATCCCACAAGATACTTGACGCTTGAATTCCAGGATCTAAGAGCGTCTGCTGAGAAAGGATGCTCTACTTGCGATATTATCAACCGCGGTACTCGCTTATTCTGGGGTGACTATTAGGAGATACCAGATGCAAATGACGCTAACAAACCATACCGCCTCTGCCTAGAACGACGACCTAGTAAGAGTCTCACAGTCTTCAGATCTCCATATAAGCCTTGCATACCTGTGGTTCAAATGCGAATCGAGTTCTTTACAGAGAATAGTATTTGAAACTTCCTCACCGTTGAAGTCTTCTTTCTAATATTATCTAAGATGCTACCTCTTCACATCCAGCTTTTGGAAATGCGAAGACTGTTGAACGGTATCTCACCATCGAGTCAGCCACAAAAACCATAAATGCTTGGTTGACGGCCTGTGAGCAAACGCATCCACTTTGCCGGATGCCTCCATCCAAGCTTCCAAATCGGGTGTTGCATGTCGCTGGAGAATTGCCGAAGTTGGTAGAGACCAACGGCAGTATATACGAGAAATACATCCCTCTCAGCCATTGATGGGGTCAAGATCCACATATCCGGCCTATGATGACAACTTTAAGTAATGTCAAAAACAGGAAGGAAGGAATACCAGTTGAGCAACTCTGTACACTTTTCAAGGACTTCATAGACCTTGCACGTCGCCTTGAGTGCGACTATGTATGGATCGACTCGTTATGTATTATTCAGGACGATCACGAGGACTGGATCAAAGAATCAGGCAAGATGGCAGACGTCTATTCTAACGCATTCTTTAATATCGCGGCAACGTCTCATCCAGACAGCTCTCACGGCCTGTTCGTGGATCGTATAACTCCCTACTTTTCAGATCGTGCAACTGGCCCTTTATACACACATACACTAAAATTCACTGCCGACGCATCTAATACAGTATCGATACGAGTATCTCATCGGAGTGATCACGTGTTTCTCTCCGATGGAACTTTTAGTGGGCGATGGGAACAAGCTCCTTTGCTTACTCGAGCCTGGGTAATCCAAGAGCGACTTCTGGCGTGGCGTTCAATCCACTTTTGTCGCTCTGAGCTGATTTGGGAGTGTAAAAGTTCATACTCTTGCGAGTGTATGGGGATGGATCTGCAAGAGGATCATCAGAGTCAAGATCCAGCGTTGTTATCAGGCGACCCAAAAGCAGAATCTGCGAGTAGCGAGCAGTCTACTTCACTTAAGCAGCTATTCTCACAACTACATCAGGGAACCCTCTCTCTGCAACGCGTCCATAATTTGTGGTTGTTACTAGTATGTGAATACTCGATCTTGGACCTCTCGAGACCCCGGGACCCATATTACGCTTTTGCTGGTATTGCAGACATTTTCAACAGGATCGTCAAAGATGAGTGTCTTGCTGGTATCTGGAAAAACGATATAGCTCGTGGTCTTTGCTGGACCGGATCACCATGTTCTTCGCCATTTCATTCTGGGTCTCTTATAGCACCTACTTGGTCTTGGATGTCCCGATTTTCTGAACGTCGAGGGCAATCCGGATCCAGCACCAGCTATAGCATTTCAACCGATAATTTTGTGCGCGACGAGCGGCTTATTATCAGCCACAGTGCACCAGGGTCCTATTTCAGCTTCGGGCTAAGCAAAGACAATATTCTTGATATAACGGCTGTTGTAATTCCCGCACGGATTTCTTTTTCAAGCTCCCGGAGAATGTTTGATAGATACCATATCAATTTGCAGCGCCTTACCCCGACCAAGCAATATTTTATGTTGGAAGCCGACTGTCCAGGCCCGTCTGGTGACGATCTTAGTCACGGAGATGAATGTTTCTGTTTGCTGCTGGGCAGAAACTTTACTCATAGTAAGTTTCATGAATGCGTTATTGTTTTGCGAAAGTGCCGAGATAGTGAAGGCGAATTTTTCAACCGGATAGGGATGACGCAGTTCGATTGTCATAAGTATAGTCAATTTGAGGATGCTGAAGTGAGGAGACTATCAGTTATCTAATTAATATCCCCACTTTGAGGGAAACGATCTCTTGGGGATCTTTCAGCCTGCTCTTGATAAGGCTGGCAGGTGGACTGGGAATGGGAAAAGGATTATAGAGTTTTTGCATGTGGGTTGAGTTTGTTTATACCGTGGGGAGTTGATTGATGGGAGAATTTCTGGAGGATGAGAAGCCTCACTGCTGTTGGTGTGGCGATATATGATTTCTTTTTAGTTTTAGAGCATCGACATTAATGTTAGAAACTGCGTCTACGTATTAGGCATAGCGTTTATCCGTCGTCGTTTAGCCTTGCTTAGCTGTTAGTTTGGATGGATGGGATGGGTGGCTTAATGATGATTTTCATTGGTTATTTCTTGTTGAATGAATGCAGCATCACGGCAATATGACTATGATATTCTGGAAGCCTTTGTTTTGTTTGATATATTATACACTATGCACGGCGTACCATCCTTTGAATATTCCGAATTTACTCGTATTGTTTCGAGAGTTTCTGCGACACATTCCACGAATTCATGCTTGAGTGTCATGCGCGCTTGTCGCTCAGGAATGCAAAATATAACATAAACACAACCGTAGCAACCAGCCTTCCCTTCTCCTTTTACGCTCTTCTTGTTTCATTTCACATGTTCCCCTTGAGGCTAGCCAGCTAACAGAAGTCCTAACCTCCACTCACTCCTATTTCCAATTATCAAAGAATACTTGTAAACTTTTTTCTTCTCCAATTCTTTTCAATCACAATCCAACCCTACACCCACACCATGCGTCCCTCTATCCTCCTCTTAGCCTGCCTATCACTCACAACTGCCCTTCCCCATTCAAACGAGCACACGAAACGCCATATGCGACATACGCATATCTCGACAACAGGATTGAAAACACATTCTTCGTCTGACGGAAATGGAAAGGTGGATTTAGACAGGGATCGGGGTGAAGCTATGGCGGTTCTGCATCATCATCAGGAGAAACTGGGAAGGAGAAAGGACGCTGAGCGGGGTGGGGAGGAGCTGGATATTGTGTATGTGGATGGGAGTGGAAGTGGGAGGCTTAAGATTGCGCATGTTGATATGCAACATGGTGGGGTTAAAGGTGGAGATGGAGGGAAAGAATATCCTAAAACGCGGAAACAGGAGGGAAGGGATGGTAATGGGGAGGTGAAAAGCGCAAGTGGAAATCGTGTGAGGAGGGGGATTGGGAATATCGTGGAGCTGGTTAGGAGGTCTGTTAGGAAAGAACAGACGAATTGCAAAGCGTAGAGACTTGGGATTGGGAGCGCGTGTTATTAGGGTATTGGGATGGGGAATGAAGAGCAGATTAGATATACGAGGCGAAGGGATAAGAGAATGGATGAATTTTAAGATGCAGAGTCAAGTGCTCAGGAATAAGATTGTCAAAGAGAAAAAGACTAACGTAGGAATGTTTGGGGGTCAGTCCCGTGAGTAAAGATAATAAAACTTTAGGTAGCAGACAGTTAAGTATCCACCCGTCTAAGTCTCCTACATCACATTTCTCTTTTTTTGGTTTCTGCCTACACACGATGAGCGTCTTGGATATTTATTGGAATGGCTTTGCGTCCTGACCTACCGGACGAACTACTCGAGATCCTCTCAAACCTCGATTCCAGCAAACTAACACTTAGCAATGTTGTTTTCATCTGCACCATCAAGCTCGGCATCATCGTCCAAGAGATTTTGTTTAGAAGTGCTAGCATACCATTAGACTCATACGAGAAAGTTTCTGCTACTGCAACCCGTCACTTCCACGCGTTCCATCGGAGTTTCTAAGGGGTTGGAGGGATTTCGGTCATGGTGCACGCACTCAGTCCCTTTTAGACAGCAATCGGAGTAGATGGTTTGGATATCATTTCGAGTCATTCAAGAAGGTAACTTGGCTATAAAAGCTCGAAGTTTAGACATACTGACCCTTAGAAACACCGTTTTTGTGGAATTTTCCTTTTTAACCTTCACTCTTTGGCGTGAACAAGGAGACATAATTGTCACATCTTAGTGTTGAAGATTTGTCCTTGACAAAACAACATAGGGGTGATTATGCTCCAGCTTTGGCTCCTGGGATTCATAAAACCCTTGATATCTACCCTATCAGCTTTGTCAACATGGCCTCATCCACTTTAAAGGAATTATTTGTGCAGAAGTCTTTCACAACACACCTTAACTTTGGTTCCTAAAGTTTCTCCCCAAGCAGTTTGATAACAGGAGTTTTACGGCACTTCAAGTTTCTCAATTGTGGAGTCCCAAGGGATCAAATCGACATCCCAGAGTTTAACCGCCCGAGTTTGGTGCGAAATGTGCTTTCACACCTCAACATGGTCAGCATGATTCCATCATCCAATAAATATGCTCCATTTTCATGATAATAGACTTGGCAGGATCGGACATGATGGCTCACGACTTGATCTATCTAAGCGGTTTCACGGCTCCGATTAGCATTGTCGCTTCAAACTGAAGATTTCCCTCCCAGAATTATCTTGGCAGGGGGTGTAAGCTCTTACCTCGATCTGCCGAGGAACTGAGGGTAGGCTTGCATTCTTCGTGTTGTGTTGTGCGCTCAATTTTCAATATTTGATTAGTGTGCTAGATTATTCCTTCTCGCTGTGGCTCGTCTCAATCCAATGGCGTGAGTTGGAAATTCGGACCGGCTAATATGTATGGACAGGCTAGTGCTGCTGCCATCTGGCGACATATAAATATCCAACGTTTCCATGTTTGGGTGGCATGACTAGGTGACTATATCTTCTGTCAGGGGCTGGGCAGGTCAAAGGGGTTAGCAATCTGCAGAGGCATCAGCTTCAGGAATTGCGACGTGTGTAAACGACGTTTTCTAGATATAATTAGTGGGAATCGAGGTAGGTTTGATTTACATGTCCTTTTAATACAAGCATGTCAAATGTGGATCTTAGAAGATATAAAAATGGTTTTGTATTTTCAAGCCGTTTGCCTTAAGTAAGTCTTAACTCTTGACTAGTTGACGAAGTTTGACTGCTCAGTTCTCCGTGAAGTCTAATATCCAGTCTTAAAGTGTAAATTGCATACACGCATGAGCTTGATTCGTTCGCGAGGGAGGGTTGTGAGACGAGGATCCATGCGTGATGGAATCTTTTGTTCAGGGGATAAACTAAATCACTCTCTTTAATACAGTACAGAGAAAAAACAGCTCCGATACTACTATCCTTGCCTCTCGGAGAGTTTTGAAGTTATCACTCTGTCTTGACTAGGGCAATTCTTCGTATAGTTTTTCGTTTTATCTTGAAAATTACCTGGACGAAAGACATTAATTCCTGCTTTGTCGGAAAATGTTCTGAAATGGGATGAAATAGTGGAAATATATCCTTATAAAGACTGCAGTGGAAATCTTTCCTTCAAAAAATCTCTTCAAGAACAATACGAGAGCTTTAGTTTGAGGCACGCATGAAAGTGAAAGAAGCAAAAAACCTGCAAAGACCGACGTGCTAATTCAACTCCAATCAACATTATGTTGGATCTTGTTTGAGAAATGATGACGAAGCAGAAGATCAGACTTAGCAATCAAATTGCGACTTCTACTCAAGTGGCTCGATCCTTTACTTCAGACAAGAGCGAATTTCAAACTGATTATAGAAAGCTAAAGATAATTCCTGGGTTTCCGGGAGAGGCGCTCGAAACTATCCCCATCGCGCTTTTGCAGTGGGGCAATTAACGGCTTTAACGGGAATTGCCTGCGAGATTTTCCCATCGACGTGGGGGAGTCGATCCATCCCATCCTAGCGAAACAGTCAAAATTCGGTTCCGTCCACTTTGCTAAGCCTGTGCCTCTCGACTGTTCCTCCTAGGTTTCGATTGCCATTCTCAGTCGTTACACGCGAGACCTCAATCAGTTGCGATAACCGACTTCAAATTTCCCCATTATTACTAAGTAACTTGCGTGCGATGCATGTCTTGCTTGGAGGTGGTTCCCACGTAACGCGCAAGCAAAATGATGACGAAGCGAAGCGAAGCGCTCAGGGGCAGACAATCTTCCATAAGCTGGAGCCTACTATTGTATAAATAGCCCTATTCGGACCCCACGCCTCCTTGGGGACGCATATCCTCTAAAAATGTGGCTTTAATATTGATTACACGACGAATACATGCTCCTCGGATAACTTTCGTGGACTGCTACTTCTTATTAATATGAGTATTCTTTAACATGGTTCCTAAATCGGTCCTTTCGGAGTTTTCTAGAATTGGATGTCTTCTCGTTCTGAAGTATAATCGATATTCATGTAACGTTGCTTCCTCTATCTCTTGACAAATGCCATGAAGATATCGGCTTTAAAGCTTCGGGGTAAAAAGAGATCCCGTTTTAACGGGGATCCCGAGAGACGCTATCAGCATGCATGGCATAGACCAATGCAGGGTCATCCGAGGCCTCCATGTAGACGCCCAATTAGACCTGAGATTATGTAAAGCTTCTACGCCATGTACTTCGTACTTTTACGAAAGGAGACTAAAACGACTTCATCGTAGCATCGCTTCATGAGGCTGTGGGGAAGGCTATGACGGTTTGTACAAAGTATTCTGGCAGCTGTTGTCTGAATTGTCGTTGGAGGCTGCAAAGTGGAGCTGAAAGGCCTAAGCTCGTCCCGATTTGGAGTGAGATTTAACGTTAAAGCTAGATAGCACGCCAGAACTGCCGTAGGCCGTCTTGTAGCGGGGAACCAGTTCCCTAGATCCCCTGGGCCGTGACGGATCCATCATTACGCGATACTCCGTATACGTGATCGGATCGCAAAGACTGCCAATGACAACTTCTACTCCGTACTCGTACCCTGTCACGCCCCGGAATACGGGCCAGAAGCCTAGGAGAACGGCCCCCAGTTGTCTACCAGAGCATTATCTCGTAGATATTGATCCTGATGCTGGAAATTCCAAAGTAATACTTCGTCCTGTCGTCGAGGTCGTTCTGCATCGGCTGGCTTTTCAACGTGGTCTTTCAATGTGGCTTGAATTGGCTGCATGGCCCAGAACAGTTCCCTCTGCAGGTGCCAGGGATCGAACTGTGCCCCCATCCTATCTTCAAGGGGAGGAGGTGCAGATGCTGCCGCTGGCGTCCATCTGCTTCTGGACATTATTCGATAAATGGCTGCGGGGCACAATTCCTATTGGCCAATAACACATTATCCCCTGTGTCCTCCCGACTCCTTCCACTCCATTACTGCTGATTAAAGCCTCAGAAGCGCCCATATGTCATCAGCAATATCTGAAAGTTTGCCTGGGGCTATAAACATGGTACGGATTCCCTCACAGCGCAAAGAGAAATCTGCAGTGGGTGGGTGCTCTCCGTATGGCACTGTTTTATTGGCAGCCCAAAGGCCAGTCGTTCGCTGGATCGTATGCGCTAGGCCATGTCAAGAATGCCTGTTGACGGGTTCCTCCCGTTCTAGGACAGTGTCCGGCAGGCGGGACAAGGTTCTCCCCATGCCTACAGCCCTCAACTGACTCATCCCTGCTTTTCAACGTCTTTTGATATCCTGCGGTATCCCAGTTTGATGATCGCCAGTGTTGTCCATCAGGTACGACTTTAGGCACTGGAGGAGCACACGCCCGCTGCCAATAACAACTTTGTCAACGTTCGGTATATGGGGCTATCGTAGATCCCGCGCCAACCATGTTCACTAATTCTCGACAGCAAAGACGCTGAAGCGTCAGAGCATTGCCGTTCGAGGTGGGGGGCTAATGTGGAACGGGCCATGCCTCTAACCTGTCTTATTCTTAGACTGTGCGGAAGGACATTAAAGCCATGCCATGAGGCTTGTGCCCCCCCCAAAACTTTGGCCCCTTTGTGGTCCATGTCAAGCCTCGAATCACAGCTTAGCTTCGATACCTAGCATAAGCTCGTACTTCTGCCTTCATCTAGCTTTTACCTTTCATACTCGATCTGATGGCAACTAGATCAGCATAATCCCATGCTATTCAAGCTTTGCGTTCTTTTCCATCTCTAATCCTCTAATCATTTCTGTGGCCTATTACCGGGAACAATTTTTCGATGTCCAGGACTCTTTCAGTAACGATGGCAAATATTAAGCCAGAAGATTCAAATAATTCCATCTGGCAAGGCTACAGTCTCCAAGCACCAACATCGTCATCTTCTCATCCTCCAATTTTCGAGCCCAACTTCACATCTCCAGTTCACTCGATTCCGTACCATGGGAGGCAAAAGAGCAGTTATCGTTCATTGGATATCCCCTCTATCCATACGCGCCCACCACCTGGAGATGAAGGAAATGGGGTGATGACGGCTTCGCCGCCGAGCCTAAATACCCACCACAGTTACCCCTCGTTAAAAAGGGGATTCCAGAGTAGCGAAAATTTACCGTACGGAGAGAATGTACACAATTTCAGAGAGGATATGCCAGTAGACCAAAAGCCCACCATGAACCAAGATCACAGGCTACTATCTTTTGCTCGTCAGCCGGAAAAACATACGATTGTCAATAGCCAAGGACGAGTGCAACAAATTGAGCTTGCAGCCCAGATCCATGGAATGTTTTTCCTCTCGGAATTAGCAACACCGTCCAGCGATAACGCCCTGGCGCAACCTGAACTAACCTGTTATCGCCGGAATCTCTTCCAGATTTCCGGGAATGTTACTACGCCACGAGGGCCGATATCTTTGATATCAGAGCGCGGCGACAGGATTCCCATCGTTTCCATGGAAGTTACCATCTCGGCGACCGAGTCCGTTGATGGGCATGTTGTAAAATTGATTGTGATTCCTTGGAAAACTCCTCCAGCAAATTCTCCCGAAGTTGGGCCTGGAACAGAACACGAACCAACACCAATACCTTTGGAGCCATTAGAAGATAACCATGATGGTAATGGCGAGTTCACGGTGTATCCGATTGCCTATCGAAGGCTTCAATTCCGGATCGCAACGGCAAACAATGGTCGACGGAGGGAACTCCAGCAGCATTTCACCCTTCACTTGAATGTGGTTGGAATGCTTGCAAATGGAACCAAGACGAATTTGTGCGAGACTTCAACGGCTCCCATTGTGGTAAGAGGGCGAAGTCCTCGGAACTTTCAAGCAAGAAAGGAGATTCCTTTAGTAGGATCATCATCTTCGCGTGGCCAACCTCCAGAGCTGCACGTTTCAACGACGAACATGCCTATCGCTATTCCTTCCGACGGGAAGGGAAAGCCAGCGAAACCTCAGACTCTTGAGCTTCCGCGATCACCGTTCACCTTCGATTCGGGAAACATTCAGGGCTCTCCGTCTTTGACCCGCCAATCGTACGTTGAGATTCTTTCCTTCTTTTCCATAGTTGGCGCCCTCAAAAGCGGTAATTTTGTACACTTGGTTGTGATTTGTCCGTTGGCATTGAGGAAAAGAGTATTTTCCTGATTAGAGGCTACAGCTGACATGCAGTAGAACATACCCAGCATGGAGCGCATCGCATACATCCGATCACACCAATATTCCCAGCACACCAAGTTATGGAAACTCCTCAGCTGTCGGTCTTGAGAACTATCTCCAGGTTAACCAAACCACCACAGAGATTCCACATCCAAGCTCCCATTCGCCGACGGCTACTATGTCGGCTACCCAACCGCCACCCATACGACAACAGTATGCCTACCATCCTGCGTCAGCTCCAGTGGCTGGTGGGCCACCTATAAGGTTTATTGACAGCAATCCCCGACCCGCGAAGTCTCCTCGACATGCTGCCCCTCCAGAGCTTCCATCCAACGCCCCGTATTCCGATTACGGAACACGCTTTGCACCAGCTTACAGTGGACCACCAGAGCCGATGCCTCCAAGGAATCCCGACTATTTTCCCAACCCTGTATCTCTGCCAACCAGTTGGACGACGGCGGCAGAGACGGCGGGTGTATATGGGACTTCAAGCCAAACGAGCAATGGCCAGCAGCACTACGACTTTCCTGGTGAGCCACAGTACGTAAAAAACGAGAACAATACACAATCGCACTACACCTGGAACGCAGCGTAAGGAGAGGACTCCCTCAACCTTGCCAAATCAGATTTTATTGCAGCGGATTTTTCCATGAATGACGACGACGAACAGGAACAGCAGGCCTTCCAACTACACGAATTGAATACCACGACACGAGCATCTTTGCATATCAAGACTGGCGCACTTTCCTTCAAGATCTCTACTTCCTAATGTACAATGTATTGTAAAACCCTGGGTGTTTGCGGGTGCAGGCAGAGAGGAAGATTGACACAAAATTTGATATAATCTCATATAAGGCAGGATGGATTTGGGAACACAGCACACAGAGCACACATAATATGAAAGCAGAGGCAGGCGCAGCAAGGAGGAAAAGCACGATACCCTACCGTATATAAATACTGTCGTTTTTGAAATTGAAATATACATCCCGCCTTGTCTTGCCCCACCTACCTCACTCTCCCTTACCTTACCATTGCTAAATTATGGCGATGTTACGCTGTGGTTACAAAGGCGGGGAAACTTTTACATAAATGCACGCGTTTCGGGTAGATCCCGGTGCCCGTAACCTTATTTTAAGCTCTACTCGGGTAACTATGGAAATATTCCCGTCCACTTTTTAAACTTCACCATGATTCTCTCCACCGCCAATATGCGCCTCAACTTATAACACAATGTTCGACCTCCCTGATGCAAAGCGGTACGTATAGATCTTATCTCTACGTATCTCTACGAGCTCTTGCTAATCTATATACTCTAGTGTTCGCCGCAGTGACCTCTACGCCCGCTCTCAATCCTCCTCCCCAACGCCCTCAGAACCAGACCCAGACTTCGAAGCTCAACTACAAGCCCGGCTTGCTTCTCTCTACGGCTCCGCATTCGGTGCATCTACAACTACTTCAATTTCCAACCCATCCGCCGCCCCCAATGGCAAGATACAGCCGGATGCCGAAGCTGAGGACGAACCGGCAGAATTCGAGTTCCGACTATTCTCATCTGGCAAGAATGACGAGGCGAAACCTCAGAAAATAGTCCTCGAGGATGAGGAAGAGGAGCTTGGCGAGGGTCGCTTTGTGCGTAATAGGGACTTGGCATATTATTTTGCGGAGAAAGCGGTTGGTGAGCAGAAATGGAAATTTGAGAGCGCGGCTCTGAGTGGTGAAGAGATACTGGATCTGGCGAAACAAAGGGCGTGGGGACTGGAAGTCCCATGGCGAGTAACAGTTCTCAAGACATCTGTAAAATCGAAGACTGCCGGCGGTGCTGTAGACAAGATGGTTATGGCTGGAGTAGGGATGAGATGAAGAGAAAAAGGCCTGGGAAGAAGAGTAGAATCATATTGCGGCAGAAGAAAAAGAAAAGAGATGAAATTGAAGAGAATGAGAGGAGGGACAAAGAGCTGAAGGATGAGACTGAGCGAGAGAAGAGGACGAGACGAAACCGGGAGAAGAAGGTCAAGAAGAAGATGAAGGAGAAAGCGAAGAAGGCCGAGGGGGCTGGAATAGAGGTTGCCGGTGGCTCTGTTGCCTCTTCCGGTGATGATTAGGGAGGAACTGCCTCAACCAAAGAAATCCAGAGAAGTCCCTGCAAGCTTTCATCCTTGAATCTTGACTCATTTGCCTACTTTAACTTTGCGTTGCTGTTGCATTAATGATGTACCAGCTATCAGATCTCACTGGCGAAAAGGTTTTTATTTTCTTCCACTAACACCAAGCGATGTCTGACAAATGACAAAATGAATCTCAAAGTCTTCCAAAACCCAATCCTGTGGTGAATAATATCATGGGAGGCTATGCCCCCTACCTGGTCTTCAAGTTTTGTCATCCTGCGAACTGCGACATCCACCAAACCAACCACCAACGAGCAGTTACAGTCCATCCTCATAGCCAGTTCTCGCCACTGACTCTCAACTCTTCCCCCATTTGGGGGTCAGATTCACTATTGTCTGCCTACCATTCGAGAAGCTTTCCCGACATCGACGCTGTACAAAAGGTCAAACAACCGGACCCTGCCAATTGCAATACGACATTACGAAGCCGGATTCGAGATTCGAGATTAATAAGAACCGCCAAAGCCTTCGCCGGTATTCCTACTCGCCCGCCGCACTCATCATGGCCAGCTCTTCACCCGTCATGCCGAATCGAAACCCTTCATCCAGCGAAGCGGTGGAAAGCACAGAATACGACCGCGCATGTTACTCTATCATCAAAGATGACCCAGTTGAACTTTTGGAAGCTGTAACACATTTTTCAGAGATCTTCCCCTGGGATAAAGCGCTCGCCCTCAACGCAGAAAACTTGCGCTACCTTCACGCAGTGCTATATTGTATAACCCAGTTTTTCTTCATACCCAAGGAGGATATGTCAGGGGATTTGCGTAAGGCTCTCACGAAGACACTCCTTCATTTAGGAATTGCGAGAGAAGGTGAGTTGCTCGTGTACCTGACCATTTCTGAGGTTCGCGCCGTGAAGCTCATGTTGGACCGCGCAAAAATGGGTCTTGGTAAAGCGATCGAAGTAGGCACTCTAACGAGCAATTTATAAAACCAGCTGACATCTATACAGGTAATGAATTCAGCAATACAGGGCTCCAACTCTCTATCTGAATCCCCGTCGGCCAATGGATCTCCGTCCTTCATACCGAATGTCGACCAAGCTACCATGGAAGAAGTTCAAGGTCTATATACACCAGATCCAACGAAGCTCTTGAAATTAGTCATAAGCATGCTCTCAATCTTCGGGGCAGATGGAACAAGCGTTGTATCAGCGAAAAGGATGCTCTTTTTGAACATGGGTCTTAAGGTTTTGGAAAAGGGTCTTTCGATACCCCTGAGCAGGGTTCCTAAGCATTTGGAGGAGGTTCTGCTTAAGATTTACCAGCATTCAGAAAGCAAACCGCAGGAGTGGGTGATGTTTGATGTGGCGCAGACAAGCGCTGCGAGGGCGCACCTAAGAGATTGGGAGGACTTTCTCACGATGATCATTGCTGTAAGCGCTCTAAATTCTAAAGATAATTCTAAGCTGATTTGAATATAGGAAAACCTAGCTACTACGGAGCCTGTAGATTCTTTTCCTAGCTCCCCGCTGCTCCACGAGTCAACTCAATCACGCCCGCCTAGTAGTCAAAGCCCTAGCCCCTATTCTTCTAAGGTAGACCTAGCCGGTGAGCTGGGTAAACCAAAGGATAGCTCCAGTTCGACTAAAAATGTCGATGCATATCCAGAAGCAGGCGGTTGTGATCAGCCGAATGGGACCAGGTGTGAAGAGCCCGATAAATCGTATCTCCGAGCTCAAGATTCAGATCAGCTTCCGCGCCCCAATCTATCATCTGAAAGTAACGAAACACCCAATCCACGAGCGGACGTGTCTTTGGCATCTGCAAAACAAGCTTCTCTAATTTCTCCGACGATGTCAAGCTCATCTACGGAGGAACCCTTCGACTTCAATGACATCGTAGGAAGTCCATCACTGCCTGGTTCTGGTCATAGTTCTTCAGATGCCCTAACCAATCTCGAGTATGAGATGAAGCTTTTAACACAAGGAATGGCGGTGAGGAAACAAAAATTACCGAAACAGGGTGCACATTCGGGGATGCCGCTGCCAGGAAAGTCCGACGAAGATAATGGCTCAAGGATGACAACCACGCAACTAGCATCCCGGCCCAAAACTGTCGACAACATATATACAAACTCTACGCCTGCAGTCGCCGCTGCAAAAGACGCTTCTTTGAATCTCCCTGCGGGCGCGGCCTCGGACAACATCCATACGACGTCTGAGAAAGACAACGACCTACTTAGAACCGTCAAATTGCAGAGTCTCCTAGCAAAACGCAAAGATTACAGATTACTAGCGAAGAAATTATCCACGCAAGTCTCGGAACTTGACACGTCCTTGCAAACCAGTAAAGCAGAGCAAATAATTCAAGTCGGTCACCAAGAAAGCCTACAAGTCAAGACTCATCTCCTCAAAGAATGTCTTGCTAGAAAGGAAAATGAACTTGTCGACCGGGCAGCGAAGCTCAAGGCTCAAATCAAAGCGAGCAATATACTAGCAAACGACATCACTACGGTGCGAGCCACACTTGATACCATAAAGAAGGAATTAACCGCCAATAACACCCAGTTCTCGCATGCGCTTCAAAAAGCAGATCATGTAAGACACATGAGTCAACGCCTCGAAGAGAAACTTTTCGCCAAGGTAAAGCAACTCAGCGATCAAAACGCTGAATGTATCGAAACCATCAAGTCCTATCAAGAAGGGCAAAAGCAAGCTGAACAGGTTGCGAAGGGTAAAGACGCGCTGGTAGAAGCCGCGAATGCAGAAGTTGAGCAAACCAAGATGGATCTAGCGCAGTTCAAGAAAGATGGCAAAGATATGATCATCAAGACCCGGCAGAAACTCGAGGAGATGCGCTTAGAGCGAGGAACTAACCGCCTTGAACTTACAGCTGCCATGGCCGACAGAAGCCACGCCGAAGGAAAAGTCGCCGGTTTAGAAGCTGATAAGATCAACCTCCAAGAAGAGCTTAATGATTTGGAAGCAGAAAGCGCGCTCCTGCGAGCAGAGAATTCACGTCTCTTGGCACAGAGAACGAATCCTCAGGCAGAGCAAGACCGGGTAGAAAAAGCTGTTCGTGACGCCGTTGCGGCCAAGGAGGTTCAGCTGCAGGGGAGGTTTGCCGATTTGGAGACTGCGTTGGAGATTGCTAGGCTTTGGGCTGCCAATGCTGATGAACAGATCCGGAGGTATTCTAGGGAGGGCTTGGGGCAGAAGACGAAGATTTCTATGCTTGAGCAACGACTTTTGACTCGATGGAAGGAATTCAATGAAGAAGACGATGCGAATGCGAGTGATGAAGCGACTGAAACGACTAAGACTATTGAATGAATGTTCGAGGCAGTATTTGTCGCCGTTAAGTCTTCCACAGTCACTCAGCGGGGGCATACACTTGGAAAAGAATGGGATGATTTTGGTTGCCCGTGTTTTTGGCGCTGGATGACTTGCGAATGTTGCTGTTAGATACAAGGTAGTTTTAACATGCTGCACGCAAGAATCTTAGCGGTCGCTAGCCTTGTCTATCCGTATAGTTGTCTCTCGAGGTTAGCCTCTGTATCGCAGCTTCAAGGGCATGCGCAAATCGTGCATTGTTTTCGTTTCTAGCTTCGTCTATCTGCTTTATGTTGAGATTTTACTATGAGTGCTCCTTATAGTATGCGTAGACTATTGTTTCCATGTGACATATATACCAAACAGAATGCTACGAGGGAGCAGGGAGGAGGGCTCCTCGTTGGGTTTTGCATTGTTGTTGGCTGTGATTTTTCACTGTTTATATTAACATCCAACCAAATTTCCTCATTCAGTTTGTCTCTCGCCCGAAACCCAGAATGCCACTCCACCAGTCCTCAGATTTCGAATGAGTCATACCAATCTACTTCTCAGCTGCTACTTCCTCCGTAAACATCTGCACGAATTCATTTTCATGCTGCGCCGAGACTACTTCCTCAATCTTTATCTGACAGGCATTTGAAAGCGCTTTCAAAACCTGCAGTTTCTTTTCTAATAGAAGTATCTTAGCGTCCTTCCCATCACGACCCGATTGTTGCTCCTCGAGCTGTTGCTTCAAGCGAGACTTATCACCCGAGAGCTCTTGAATCGTGCGTTGATCAATAGTCCTTTCTCGTTCTGACTGTGCAAGTTCAGCGTCTCTGGCAGCGATCTCTTCATCTTTGGCCAAGACTGCTTCTCTGACGGCTTTCTGAATCTTATCTTTTTCGATCTAGGGATTGGTCTTGAACGAAAAGAGACGAGCCTTTTCACTCTTCAGCTCCTTTTTCTGCTTCTTCAAATCTTTAATTTCTGCGTTCAAACCCAACATCGCAGCCTCCGCAGTTGCCGCTCGAGCCTCGACGTTCAACTGGTTGCCGGTAACCATTCCCAACTCCATGTCCTTGGTCTCGAGTTCTTTCTGGGCTTTATTTAGAGCGGTTTGTGTCTTTTTGATTTGCTTCTGAGCCTGTTTTTGAATCTGTGAGAGCTCGTTCTTAGCTGCCTTTGTGTCGAATATTGCCTTTTGAAGCTGGTCGTCTTTGGCTTTGACTTCTCGCTGGTGTCCTTCTTGCTGCTGATGACGGAACTCGAGGGCTTTTTCTATCTCTTTGCTCTTGGAATCCAATTCTTCCTTCCATCGGCTGCATTCCTTTGTTGATGACGCTAGCTTTGTCTCGGTCGCTGTGGCTTTTACCTGTAATGTCTCAAGCATGTGTTTGCGCATGTCTCCATTGGTGTCCGAAAGTTTGAGTTTCTCTTCCATCGATATTATCTGGCAACGAAAAAGGACTTTGGATACTCGAATAGAATCCTTTGCTAGAGCCAACTCACGTTTAGCTTTGGAAAATAGGGTTCTAGTCTCTTGGAGCTCTGCTGCAAGCTTAAGAGGTAGTGCATGGTGCAAATTGGACAAGTCATCAGAAAACCCAGCCACCGTAGGAGTATACGAGTTCTTGATGTTGTCTAAAACCGATGGAGTTTGAGTCTGGATGCGTCCGGACAGTATATATGGCTGGGAATGGTCGCTAGTAATGGATGTTGCGCCTTCGAGAACTTCGCCAACATCAACCTTATAGGGTTCAAAGCTGAGCTGATATGAGTATTAGGTGTGAACAAACTTGTACCGGATTTGAGGTAGAATGACATACAGGATACGAAAACATGTGTCTCGCAAGCTCTAATACTTCTAGCATAGATCCAGATACCGCGGCGCCGGGTGTAATGCAGATATCTGTCTTTGGCACATGGCCCAAGTAAAGTTTCAACATTCTAAAGAACGACTCCTCATCATCGTATAGATGCTTGTTTCTACAATAAAGCCGGCGCATGGAAATGTCATAACTGTAATTGGTCTGCAGTATTTTCCACAAAGCGGTGAAAGCACCGAGGGTAGGGTAGACGTCGCAAGCCTTGATGGTTACTGGGCACCCAAGGATGTCTTGTTGGAATTGCCAGTCTTCCGCAATCCTATTTAGCCAGGTGTGCGAGAGAATGTCGGGATGTTCTTTGAAGAAAGAAGCTCAATCAACACTCCTAAAATTCAATGTCCAATGTCAGCATGCATTACTTCAACTTCATATGGTAGGGTGTGACGGGTCAAGATAGTATCTAAGAACAGCAAGGGACTACTTACTTGTCGGTGATAAGTCCATCTTCTGTCCATGCTTCTTTTTTCGATGGGATTCGTTTTTCGGGATGCTTTCCAGTGAATTCGACATTTTGTGTTTCAGTGAAGTTGATGGCCTCATTCATTCGCTCGAGCATTGGAAGTTCCTCCTCGACTATGAATTATTAGAGACGCTCTTGATCTTCCGGGCGTGTTTAAAATTACCATTGTAGAAAGCGTGACGCCTTGCAGCAGCGGTCGGCCCGAGGAAAGGAGAACCAGGACATGTTAAGACATCGCTCTCGTTGTGTTCGTGAGAAGGAAATTTATCTCCGTCTGAGTCGTTGTTCGCCATGTTCATGAGGGTGAGGTTGAGATGAGGTTAAACAGTTGAATTGGAGTTGAGAAGGGAGGATTCATGATTCTGTCCTGAGAAAGACCAAACACATGGACACTAGCGTCAATTAGCCAGAGCGGTGGCAGCGGTCTATATGTCCCTGTATGGCAGATTGGGGTGTTGATTCTGCCACATGGCGGTGAATTCCAACACTGGATTGAGACAACCGCCTGTAGGAGCGCTTCTAGTCCACGAGTCTGCGATGAACTCTTGTAAGTTTTGATGTAGAACCAAATCCAATGCTTGAAGTTCTTATACTGTTGAAGTTATATACACTTTGGCAAACCAATCTTCATTTCCTGTCGGTACCGCGTTGAACGACCAGATGGCCAATTCTTGACAGCAGATTTGTACCACCCAACAAAGCGCAGTGGTTTGAATTGTTCGACAAGAGGAATATAGAACTAGAGAGCAAGTGGGCAGAGCCCGAAAAATAAGAGTGCTACATAAGATAAGCTCTCAAGAGACCGAAATCATGACAGCAGAGCTCCGCGTCAGTCGTGAAGTCGTCGAAAGAGTCGCAGAACAAGCGCGCATCAGGTCTGAAGAACTCAGGGTAATGTTGTGGAGGGACAACACAGCCGCGGACTCTAGGCTAGGATCTGACTGATAGTTTCACCATTGTATAAATATATATTAAAAAAATCTGTATAAAAGAGTGTGTTGTAGAATAGATGGGGGTCTAAGTCTATAGAAACGTCCGATTTTATAGAGTACGATGCAGTGCTAGCTGCATACCCCATTTCACGTGACAGCCCGTTTTGACCCCACCACAATGTTGAAGAAGTTGAATGAAGCAGAGACTGAGTCTTCGCTCTAGTTTAAAGAAATCGCCAAGCGACAGAGATGTTGGCGTTGGCGGAAATGAAGATGTCGCGGGAGCATGTGGAAAACATGGAAGCACAAGAAAGACTCGAGAAAAGGCTTAAAAAAGATGTCGCTAAGACATAATTGGAGGCTAATAACATGGAGTGGGAGATGGCGCGTGAGAACTTGAATCTCGCTGAAGTTAAGGTGGCTGTTTTGCAGGAGGAAAAATGCAGATTACTGGAACGTTTAGAGGTCTTGGAGATCCAATTGAAAAAATCGCCCGCCGAAAACACCCATATCCGAGCGTTCAGAACCAATAAACAGGCAGAAACGTATGAGCAAACTACCCGCAACCAACTGACGGAGGAAATAACAGCACTGAAGTCGCAAGTTGGTTCTTTGAAGGAAGAAATTATCCATGACCAGGACGCCATTCGCAACATGGCCCAGGAACAAAATCGACTGAAGGAGAAAGTCACCGTTCTCGGGGAAACAAATTCTGAGCTCAAGAAGCGGGCTGCTAATCTCGAAAAGCAATTGTCCAAGCGTCGGAAAGGTACCAAAAGCGGTACATGGAGAAAACGTGTGAGGATGGTGGGATTCGTCCACTAGTCTTTTTGAGGCGGATGGAGATCCTGAATAGATGGTGGTACTGCTTGTATGAGAAGGAGGATTATGAGAATGCTTGGCATTGAGACTCAGACTTTTGGCTAAATGATCTTTGTAATTAGCCTTGAATGGAAACCAAATTAATGCTAATTGCACCTTCTATATGCGTTGATTTGATCAAGTGACTAATATGTCTAGACAAAGGTGTGCGGTGAAATCCGGTACTCCCACAATACATTAACATCTACAAATAAATTGGGTGAGAGTTAGTAGTAAGAGGAGAGATCTGTAGAAGCCTACTAAGGTTTACAATAGATGGTTCGGTAGCTCAGCTTCATTATTGTGAGATGGAGAAAGGGGGGTCTTAGCGCCGGGAAGCTGCCCACGTGAATATGAGGGGCTGACCAAGCCAAGCCCTCTACATGAAACACCAAAGTTCTCGCAGGATCCCGTCAACTATTTTTATCACAATACAATACAACACGCAAAAAGCCACATTATTTCGTGATATATTGTTTCGTGATACAATCCCCAGCACGAGAATATGTATATTTGAGAACACCAGTACACCATTGTGTTAGTGTTGTTACCAAGTCTAACCTCGACGGGTCGATTATCGGGATGCACCGTCCCAACCCAACACCAACACCAACCCCTTAAAGTAAACATCCATGCACGGAGTACCTTTTTTTACAAGCACAAGCCCGTTCTACGTAAAACACTCAAACATATCTGAAGCCAACCGCGGCGAATGAAGCCGCTCTGTCCGTAGGTGCATGTTGTTTCGAAACGAGTTATTATTCTCGGCGGTTTTCCAGGTGGTTGGTACGAAGTAGTCTGACACTTCTCCCTCTTTCTTCTCCATTCCTCTCCATTCCTCTGTCAAAATTCCTGAAATTCACGAATCTTCCTGTCGACGTTTATCATTTCTCTATTTACAATTCTTATATACATAATCATATATAATGCGATCTTCTCCTTGCGTTGTTCTTGCGCTCGCAGGCGTCGCAACTGCGTTCACTCCGCCTGGATTCCAACCAGCATCTACGAACAACCTCACAGTGGCATTTGGCAACACATTGGCCATCAATGGCGTCAATCTCCCCAAAGCAGGTCAGTCCACCCTCCCCTCCTCCCAACTTCAACTGACGACTCCCAGAAACCCAAACAGCACCCACAATCGGAACATCGCAGCCATTAGTCGGAAGCTACACACTGATGATGGTTGATCCCGATATCCCACCCCAGATCGTAGGCGGTGCTACCAGCGAACTCCTCCATTGGTTGCAGCCTGGTCTCGTGTCCGCAAACACTAGCACGACAATTGGCGGCATCAAAGTCTATGAGTTGATAAACCCTACGAATGTCTCTGCGATTGCGACGTATCTTGGTCCTTCGCCTCCGAACAAGAGCCCTACCACACACCGCTACACGCAGCTGTTACTCAACACAACGGGGAACGGCACCGCGCTGGCGGCATTGACCAAATCGGGGGCGACGAGGACTAATTTCAGCGCTGTGGATGTAGTGAAGAACGCTGGCTTGACCGTGTTGTTTGGGAATTACTTCAACGTCAGCGCTGATACGAATACTACTGTTTCGGGGTCGGGAAATGGGACGAGTGCGAGCAGTAGGGCAACAAGCACTGGGAGTGGAGGGAAAGCGACTGGAAGTGCTAGTGCTATTACGACGACGAGATTGACGACTGTTCCAGGGTCGACGGCCACGGCTGCTGCGGGAGCGTCAGCCGAGGGGAACAGTACTGGGGCGGCGAAGAGTACGGCTGGTGTTGGAGTAAAAGGGACAGGGAGCGGGGCTATTTTGGCAGGTCTAGGGGCTATGGCTGCTGCTGTTATTCTCCTGTAGATAAAACCATAATGATGTTTTGTATAAGTATAAAAAAACGATTTTATGCAAGCCATCAATTAAAGTAAGTTACATGGGTAAGTTCGGAACGAGACTCGTTGAGGAAGGAGCAGCAAGTTCTGTCTTCTATTCTTGTCAATTTCCACTTTATTAATATCTTCGATATTGAAGTACCTGCTTACCTAGGCAGGTACCTACTAACCCTTACCTACCCCATACCTAGGTACCTTCACAAGGGGTATGTTCAGATCACGTGTATCTTCTACCTTTTGGCTAAAGGACCACCCGATCCAAACAATTGCATATTTCTATCCTCATCCCATATGCCTCTACTACCTACCTCTCAACTCCCATCCAACATCTCTCATTATCTTTGAATCGTCCAAAACATCACGTGCATGTCATTCTCACCTGGCTAAACGCGGCTAGGTACATCCAAAACGACATGAAACACCAGTTACACAACATCTGCACCCGCAAATACATCTGCACATGTCGGTTCCCCTTCGAGCCTTCGTATTCCATTCTCGAAGCTCGCATGGATCTGTCGTGTTGTTCCCCCCTCCGCAGTCTATTAGAAGGGATCAGGCATTTCTGATGTATCGCGCAATGAGCAGCCGTGAAAAAAAGCCGACCTTCCGCAAATAGAGTGGAGTGTCGAACTTGTGACAGTCCATCGTGACTCTGGGGGTGAAGTGGGGTGAGGTGAGTGAGTGAGGTAATTGAAGTGACGGGTCTTTTTTCGGTCACTCTCCTCCAGCAATTCCCCGCCCCCGCACTCCGGAATCTCCGCGCGCTACTTGTATTTGGAGCTACCCCGCGAATGAATGGACCCAGAGAGAAAGGGAAAGGGAAAGGCGCCTCCTTGACGAGGAGGAGGAGAAGGCTCCAGCCGCGAGCCGGCTGTGGACTGCGCCGTTATTATGCCGTACGGTAATTATTCTGAGGAACGACTTTGGTTCTTCTTCTTCTTCTTTGTACATCCATTACTCGTACTGTGGTCTAGACGAATTCATGTTCGTGTCATGTCTCTTTCATCCCTTCTTCCTCTTTCTTTGCGACGCGTCTAGAACAGAATTCAACCTCTAGCAACCTACCTAGTGTATGTGAATTTGCACTTGTTGGTCCATGCCACAAGATAAATTGACCCCTTGGCAAATGCCCGCCCTTTCTAACAGCAGCTTCTCGTCCTTCTCGAATGACAAGAACAACACCCTCCAACCATGATAAACCCATCGACAATGCGGCCGACTGTAGGCCAGTGTCGAGCTGGCATACTATCAGCAGCTGTGACTTCGCAGCGAACGAGTCTCGGTCTCCTAGGTACGTTCAATGATATCCGTCCCTTGAACCAGCTAACAACCCCCTCCAGCTCGACACATTCGACCCCTCTACCGTCCCTCCCAAAGATGGATCGAACAGCGAAAGCCCATTCGATCTCAACTCACGGCACCCGTCCCCCTACCGAAACGAATCGTCCGTCCCACCCCCCCACATCCGAATACACCACACCCGTAACCCCCCTCCCATACGCAGACCTCACAATCGGCGTAGTTCGCGAGACGTACCTCACCGAAAAACGCGTAGCTCTCACGCCCGCCAACGCAGCCCTCCTGCTCAAAAAGGGCTTTAAGCGCGTGCTGGTCGAGCGCGGCGCTGGCACAGACGCACAGTTCCCGGACACGGCGTACGAGAAAGCCGGCGTCACTCTAGCAGAAATGAAGACGGTGTGGACGGAGAGTGATATTTTGCTAAAGGTCAGGGCGCCCAGTTTTGAGGGCAGTGTTAGTGAGGTTGATCTGTTGAGGGAGGGGACCACATTGATATCGTTTTTGTATCCGGCGCAGAATGGGGCGTTGGTGGAGAAGTTGGCGAGTAGGGGCACGACAACTTTTGCTATGGATATGATACCCAGAATTTCAAGGGCGCAAGTCTTTGATGCGCTGAGGTAGGTCTTTTGAAGATGCCGGTAAGAGGAGTTGTAGTTGCTGATTTTGTGGGGTAGTTCAATGGCCAATTTGGCGGGGTATAAAGCTGTTCTGTTGGCTGCAGATCATTTTGGGAGAATGATGACAGCTCAAACGACGGCTGCGGGGTAAGTCAAAGCCTTCTTCGTTTGTGTAACTAAGCTGACTGCTAAATTACAGAAAGGTAAGTAATATTGAGCCCATTCTATTCTGTTTACCAACTCTATCAGATTCCTCCATGCAAGGTTCTTGTAATTGGAGCTGGTGTCGCAGGTCTAAGTGCCATTGGCCAGGTATGTCAATCCCCACCCTTTTGTCTATTGTACATACCAATCGTTTTAGGCTAAACGCATGGGCGCCATTGTACGAGGATTCGATACCCGTTCAGCAGCCCGTGAGCAAGTGCAATCCCTTGGAGGCGAATTTATTGAAGTAGAGATCGAGGAAGACGGCTCAGGGGGCGGAGGATATGCAAAAGTGATGTCAAAGGAATTCATCGAAGCCGAAATGAAACTCTTCTTAGAGCAATGCCGAGAAGTAGACATCGTGATTACTACCGCTCTGATTCCTGGGAGACCTGCCCCAAAGTTGATCACGGAAGAGGTAAGCATAGACAACTATCGTCCACCATTTCTCCTCTGATTGTAGATGCCCAGATGATTTTGGCCATGAAGCCAGGCTCGATTATTGTTGATCTCGCTGCCGAGAATGGTGGAAACTGTATAAAAACTGTTCCGGGACAACTCGTTGAGCATAACGGAGTCAAGATTATTGGTTCGTCCACTTAAAGTATCCTTTTCCTAACCTTCAATTGATCATTTGTAGGCTACACGGATCTTCCTTCTCGACTTTCGACACAATCATCGACTCTCTACTCTAACAACATCACCAAATTTCTCCTCTCCATATCACCGGAAGACAAGATCTTTGGTGTCGACTTAAAAGATGAGGTAGTCCGCGGCTCGATTGTCACTTACAAAGGTGGCATAGTTCCCACAGCTCCACGACCAGCACCTCCACCTACTCCCGCTCAGCCTACCCAGCCACTTCCTGATGCTGCAGCTGCAGCTCTAGCTATCACGCCGTGGCAGAAGACTACACGAGAAGTAGCAACGGTCACGGGAGGGATGGGACTTGCTGTAGCGCTGGGAAAGGCGACCGGTCCGCTCTTTATGGGTAATGTATTTACGGCTGCTCTGGCTGGACTTATTGGGTATAGAACTGTATGGGGTGTTGCACCTGCGCTTCATTCGCCGCTTATGAGTGTCACGAATGCCATCTCTGGTAAGGAACAGCAGGTAGTTTTGAGAGACGCAGTAATGCTAATGAGGTTTAGGAATGGTTGGTATTGGTGGCTTCTTCATCATGGGTGGAGGGATTCTGCCACATACAATTCCGCAACTCTTGGGATCGTTGTCTGTTCTGCTGGCTTTCGTGAACGTCTCCGGTGGATTTGTGATTACGAAGCGAATGTTGGATATGTTCAAGCGTATGATACCCTTCTTCGCCCGTAGAGTATCTGCTAAATAAACCCACAGGCCGCGACGATCCTCCCGAATATCCATGGCTGTACGCAATTCCTGGAACTGTGTTCGGGGCAGGTTACATTGCAGCTGCGAGCACCGGTATGGCAGGTCTAGTGCAAGCTGGTTACTTGGCTAGTAGTTTACTGTGCATTGGTTCGCTTTCTGGATTGGCATCTCAAACTACTGCTCGACAGGGAAATATTCTCGGTATATTAGGTGTCGGCTCTGGCATTCTTGCATCTCTTGCTGCAGTTGGCTTTCCACCGCAGGTATTAATGCAATTCGCCGGTGTAGCTGGTTTTGGCAGTATTATTGGTGAGTAACATTCGTATTAATAGCGAGGGCTTGGACTAACGTCTTTCAGGATTGCTCATCGGTCGACGAATTACAGCTACCGTACTTCCTCAGACAGTTGCCGCCTTGCATTCAGTCGTCGGTCTAGCTGCCGTCTTGACCAGCATCGGCAGTGTGATGGCACATATCGGGGATATCTCCATGTTACATCTAGTGTCGGGATATTTGGGAGTCTTAATCGGTGGCGTTACATTTACCGGTTCGATTGTAGCTTTTATGAAGCTTGGAGGTCGAATGTCTTCCAAACCTATTAGACTTCCCGGACCTCGTCACGCACTCAACTCTTCGTTATTAGGTCTTAATGTGGCTACTTTTGGCACCTTCTTGGCTATGGCACCCGGAGCACCGATGATCGCTGCTGGATGTTTGGCTGGAAATGCGGCGTTGAGCTTCTTCAAGGGTTATACTACGACTGCGGCGATTGGTGGTGCCGATATGCGTAAGTCTTCAAAATCTGCAGATATGAGCGTGATTGCTAACATGTCCACAGCTGTTGTCATCACCGTCTTAAATGCCTATTCAGGATTCGCCTTAGTCGCTGAAGGTTTCATGCTCGACAACCCTCTCCTCACAACAGTCGGCTCACTCATTGGCGTCAGCGGCTCCATCCTCTCCTACATCATGGTATATTCCCTGCTAAACCACCCTTTTAACTCCTCACTAACACCCCACAGTGCGTAGCTATGAACCGCAGCATAACCAACGTCCTCTTCGGCGGAATCGCACCCGTCGCAAACGAAGACTACAAAATGGAAGGTAGCATCACCAAAACCAACATCGAGGAAACAGCCGACGCACTAGCAACAGCCGAGAGCGTGATCATAGTTGTTGGCTACGGCATGGCCGTTGCGAAAGCGCAGTATGCGATTAGTGAGATTACGAGAATGCTGCGGAACAAGAGGGTCAAGGTTCGCTTTGCTATCCATCCCGTTGCTGGGAGGATGCCGGGACAGTGTAATGTGCTGTTGGCAGAGGCGAATGTGCCTTATGATAGTACGTCTCTTCTCCCCCGTTTCCCTGCTTCTCTTATCAGACGGGAACCAAGAGCTAATCCCATATAGTTGTCCTCGAAATGGACGAAATCAACGACGACTTCAGTGACACGGACCTCACACTCGTGATCGGCGCGAACGATACCGTGAACCCTATTGCGCTGGAACCTGGATCTAGCATTGCGGGGATGCCGGTCTTGCATGCGTGGAAGAGTAAGCAGGTTATTGTTATGAAGAGGGGTATGAGTAGTGGTTATGGTATGTTTTGTTTTTCTTTCTTTTTCTTTGCCCTTCCGCTTTGTGTTGTGTTGTCTTGTGTTTGAGCGCGTAGGGGTGGGCGAGGGCGGAGGAGGTTGGTTTCCATAAAAAGAGAGCTAATGAAAACATTCACAGCCGATGTACCGAACCCCATGTTCTTCATGCCAGGCACGAAGATGCTCTTTGGCGACGCCAAGGATTCGTGTGATGCTATCAAGGCGGCGTTGGAGGGGAGGAATAAGCGGTTTGACGTGTGATGTGAGGGCGGTGCGGTATACATACATACATACATACTATGTAGGTACAGTAATGATTTCGGAAGACCTGGCGGTTATGGATGTGAATGAAATTTGGATGACGGGTGAAGGGAAGGGAAGGGAAGGAAGGGATTAGGTTGGCGCTTTGGGAGCATGAGTTAGGAGGTTCGATTCTGCATGGCATGGTATGGCATTCGTTGCATCATATTGGTAGCATTTATTGGTAGATTGATTGAATTGGATTCCATTTCATGCTATATGAAATATCATTACATCAGACTGCGTTTATCAGAGAGCCTAGCACGGCTCTTTTCATGAATAGCCATACGCAAAAGGCTGGGACTGGATGGTGGGAGAAATATTCCACGGATATATGACTGAACTGTTTGGCATGTATTAAGTCACGTATGTATGTATTATCTCTCCACTCATCCAACATTCGTAACATCATAACCGCACCGCAGCCCAAATTACATCCGAACCCAAACTCCCGCCCCAAGATACCCAGACATTAAAACTAAGAGTGAACCTTAGCACACCCCTCCTCCTTACAATTCCGTCGCCTCTGCATCCCACCCGTCTTGCCCCTACACACTCTATACCCCTCCGCCCTCACATGGCCCCTGAAATGCGCATACCACTCCTCGACGCCCATCCCGCCCTTCCACACCCCATCATACTCAAAGCAGATCCAGCAGCCCAGTCTCTCCCCCCTCCTTCCTCCAGGTCCAGTTTTTTGCTGCTTGTGCTTGTGGATGTGAAATTCGAGGGCGGTAAGTGACTCTCCCAGCGATAGTTGACCGAGGGATCAATCCAGCCAGGCCACCCTTCTTTATAACTCGCGGGGATCGAGTCGGATACGATGAAGCCGCATGGACAGGCTTCGAAATACTGCGTGCCGGTGCGACCGCCGCCGGGGACGCTGTTTGCGGCGCGCTCGGAAAAGGCGTGTGCGCAGAACCCGGGGTTTTGCGTTCGAGGGAGAGAGGCGGGCGCGTATGGTGGAGGCGGAAGTTCTGTTTCTGTATCCACAGCTCGTGCAGCAGCGAAGAGACTCGAGACTTCTTGCATTTCGGGTACTTTCGACATGGTGGGTGGGGATGGGGACGGCGGGGGAGAAAGCTGGAATGTTGTTGTGTTGTGGATGAGGTCGAGGGATAGAAGGGGTAGGATTGGGGTTCGGGGCGCGCAGAAATGCGTCGATGGCTTTTCGAAGGATGGAGATGCGAGGTGTGCGGGGAGCGGGGTGCGTGAGGGGTGAGGGGTGAGGGTCGACATGTAATGGGGTGGGGAGATCGAATGTCGAGATCTCGTTCGGATGAAAAGAAACAGGGATGATACCGAATGCTTAATGAAGAGCTTACCTTTGGATGGAGAATGGATGAAGAGAAAGAAAGAAAGAAAGGGAGGGAGCAGAGCTTGGGAGAGAGATAGAGCAGTACTTACGCTTGCCCTGCCACATAATTATTGTGGTAGGCTCGAATATTGGGAGGTTGAAGTGAAGAGAAGTCGGAGGCTGGCGAGGCTGGGAGAGGTGAATTTGAAGTCACTAACTGTAAGCGAGATAGCGCTGCGTACTCTGAAACGCACGTGATATCCCCCCTTTTGGTTCCCACAACCACACACTCTTATGCAGAATTCCCGAGTTTATTCATCAAAGGCTACGGAAGCACCAAGAGCTGGCGAGTTCTCTATTACGACTTCTGATAATGCCAAGTTGGATGTTGTCGAATACCGACCGACCTTATGTAAGCTCCTTTTTCTTGGCTAAGTCTTGTTACCGATCAGAGGGGTCACGCTAAGTTCTAGATGCTTGCATATATTTATATGCCGTTGCCGTTCCCAACTTTCCTTCGCTGGGAAGATAAGGAGTCACGATAACATTGCTGAAGCGGATTATGTGCATCTATAAGGCTCGGGTCCAATCGCGAGCAGGTTTCAAAGTTCTTGCGTTATCTCTATGGCGTGCTAGAACCTAAATATGCGACATACATTTCCATGGGACAGGACAATACCCATTCCAAGCCAAAACTTACCATATTGAGCTAAATCATGCATCCTTAAAAAGCTAATCGAACAAAGGTATATCGGCAGATGATAACCCGGTAGCTCAGTCGTAGGACAAAACTTAGAACTTCCATGCCTTGATTCCACTATTCTCTTGGCCATATATACATACAACTATCAGATTCGCGCAATAACTAGACAACTTGCGTGATCTAAGGGTTCTGTGCTTATAATTGTGCCATTGATCAAAAAGAAGCCTGTCCCTACCGCTTATCCTTTCCTGCTGCATATGTTATGCATTGTTTTCTAGATTTCTATACCCTCAACTCTTTTCACCTACCAGTCTTGCAGAAAGTTCTACAGTTATGGCTGATACAGCTGCGGTGATCCCATTGTCGCAAGTAAGTCATACTTAAAACAAAGAGGCTTGCCTCACTTTACAACATGTCTATGAACTCTATTGAACTAACTACTTCTCTCCAGGGCGCTGGTTATGGAGTCGTTGTTGGTCTCGGAGCGTTATTTGCTTTTGGAATGATAGCAGTCAGTGAGGTTATGAAAAGACGGGGAAACGTTGAAAATTCCGAAGAGTTCACTGGTGAGTAGCTTTCCTTGCAGATCTGGAGGATATATTATCTATGACTAATAATCAATTAGTTGCAAAGAGATCTCTTGGAACTGGGTTGACTGCCGCTGGTGTGACATCTTCTTGGACATGGAGTACCACCCTCCTCTCCTCGGTAACTGTTGCTTACGAATATGGTGTTGCCGGCTCGTTCTTCTACGCTGCTTGCAACAGTACGCAAATCATGGTTTTCAGCAACTTGGCTATTGTGAGTTTATCGCATAGTACTAGGGCTCTCACACAATTCTAATCTCTCCAAGCAAACTAAGAGAAAAGCTCCTAATGCCAGAACATTCCTTGAAATCATCCGTGTCCGATATGGTACAATCGCGCATTTCTCGTTTATGTTCTTTAGTTTGGCTTCCAATATCTTGGTTGTTTCATCCATTTTGATTGGCGGTGCGGCAGCTATCAACTCATTGACTGGGATGAATGTTTATGCCAGTCTTTGGTTGCTTCCTCTTAGCGTTTCTGCATACACTATGCGAGGTGGGTTGAGAGCTACTATTCTCACAGACTACGTGAGCTTTTCTCTTCTCCTCTGTATGAAACGAACTTGTCTAAACTTGTATAGATTCACACAGCTATCATCTTGATCGTCATTTTGTTTTTCTGGTTCAAGGTCTACGCTTCTGGAACGCAAATTGGATCCCCGGGAAAGATGTGGGACCTCCTCATTGAAGCCGCTCAGCGAAATGACTACTCAGCACCGACTAGAGACGGAAGCTATCTCACCATTCGATCCCTAGGTGCGCTCAAGTTTGCCATCCTCAGTATTCTCGAATATACCGGTGTCGTCTTCCTAGACAATTCTTTTCACCAAAAGGGCATTGCGGCAGATCCTGCATCCGCGATTCCCGGCTATGTTCTCGGAGGGCTGGCTTGGTATGCAATGCCTTTTACCTTGGCTACCACGATGGGTATTTTGGCAATTGCGCTGGAAAACACACCTGCTTTTCCCACGTATCCTAGAAGAATGAATTCCAAGGAGATTGGTGCTGGGTTGGCTTTACCTTACGCCGCCCAGACAATTGCTGGTAAAGGTGGTGCTGGTGCAGGCGAGTTACCCGATATCCCTGGATCATGTCGGAGAATCATTACTAATTTGTGTCGAAGTATAGTCCTCGTACTAATGTTTATGAGCTGCACCAGTGCCATTTCCAGTGTACTTATCGGCGTCTCCACCGTTCTGTCTTACGATATCTACAAGACTTGTAAGTCCGCTTGCCATACATTTCACCCCCAAATCACACCTTACTAATCAAAATTCTACTAGACCTCAACCCTAAAGCTACCGATGATCAAGTACTCCGTGTAGGGCATTGGTGCGTTGCCGGCTTTGCTATCTTCATGGCTGCCTTTGCTACCATGCTTCACGGAGTGAACATTGATTTAGGTTTCATATACGTAAGCTTTTCTACACCAATGCAAATAGGAACACATTACTAATATTCTTTCCTCATAGAATATGACAGGTATCTTCACAGGCTCAGCACTTCCCGCCCTCGTCGGCACATTCTTCTCGTCACGACAAGGAGCACTAGCAGCGACCGCATCTATCTGGACTGGATTCTTTGCCGCAGTCATAACATGGGTAGGCTATCCGTCTTCCTCACACCATCCTCAAAACATCATAATAGTAACTAATTTGGTTCGTCTCCCCCTAGTTAACCTTGGCTCAGCGCTTCTCTGGAACCGTAAACATCACATCTGTCGGAGCAACCGATCCGTGTTTATACGGATGTATCGCGGGCATTGGCGCAGCAGCCGTAATTACCATCAGCATTTCCATTTTCCACAACGCTCGTTATGGGTGGGAAACCCTCGGTGCAATTCGCTTGACCGATAGTGAAGGAAACGATAAAGATGTCGCTTATGAGGACCCAACTTACGACCCAGAACGCCTGAGAAAGGCGGCTTATGTTGCTCGTGCTATCACTCTGTTCTTATTCTTAGCCTTGTTTATTATCTGGCCCTTGACGTAGGTTCTTCTATTTCTTTTCTGCAAACTCCAAGGCAGTTGGTTTAGACTACTAATACTACAAATAGTTTATACGGCACCGCATACAAGTTCTCGAAGAAGTTCTTTACGGGATGGGTCATAGTATCCCTGCTCTGGGCGTTCTTTTCCTTTTTCACCGTTACGGTATTCCCTATCATCGAAGGGCGACACCTGCTCCTATCGTGGGCGAAGGATCTCTTTGGCAAACGCAGCAAGGCGACTCATACAGAGGAGTTTGATCACCATCAACATGGTCAGCGGTATGATGACTCGGAGGCGGTTCTGGAAGAGAAGACGGCTGTAGGTGATAGGGCTGTGCCGCTTGATTCGAGTTGGGAAAAGTAGGTTTCGGAACTATAGGTTTGTTACAAAGATTCATGCTTTAGGAATGTCATATGAGTTGGCTTATCCTGTCTGAGGAATACAATCTAGAATTTTACTCGTAGAGATTTAGAAATAGAAATGGAGAATTAGAAAGTTATTATTGTGCTTGGACCTCATTGGAGGGCCATAAATTCTTAACTTGCTCAACTGAAGTATGGAAAAAGCGATCAGTGATCAAAAATGGATGTGCTCATTGTTATTAAATTATTATTTATATCAAGTTTGTTTGAAATCTAACACTTAGAGGTGCAGTATAACTATCAGAATTATAAACTCTCGACCAATTGCCATATAGCAATGCAGAAATGGTGTAGAAATGGTGTTCAGACTCGACAGAGCACGTCGTCTATCACTTTCCACCCCTCATTCCCAACACATGGATGGCACCAAAGGACATCGCCGGGTCCACGGCCTTTTTGATGCTTAGTAGACGTGGGTAATTATCGCCCCAGAAGGCTTGCTGGAAGTTGGGTTCGTTCACATCGGCCTTCCGACCTTTTAGCCGGGGCTTCCATCTAATCTTCTAGAGAATGGAGACATACCTCGTTCACATACGCACCCGTATCTGGCGCCAACTTTCTCCAAGCCTCAACATAGGTATTGGTAAGGAGGTCCTCCTGTCTCGCCTTCTCGGCAACATCAAATGGCGCCCATTCGGCACCAACCACTATTACTAGTCAGCTACTATCCACTGGCAGGAGGAAATTGAGACGCATACCGCTATGGACATAAGCCGATCTCCAAGCAGGGTTAACAGCATTTCCTCCACCTCTTGGTCGTGCATTATGCACCCCCTTCCCATTGACCAGATATATTTGCAGCGGGGATTGGGCAGGTATAAGTATTTTCAAAGCCTCTTTCAACCCGGGAGCATTTGTTAACGCCTTGCCATCAAGGAGTCTGGAACCAGTTTGTGCGTCAAAACCAGCATTGTTTGGACCGTTGTGTGGCAAGTACCAGGTGTAGAAACCAGGAAAGCTCTGCGAAGAAATTGATAACGGGAACTGGTTCGGATATGGCGCTGTGACATCATCTAGAACCTTTTGTAGCGTTGCGGTCAGGGATTCGGTCGTGTTTTCTGTGTGGAGGGCTGGGAGGAGGAATGTGCCAGTGAAGCCGTCTACGGGAGTGGTGATGTTCAGCTCAGCACTGGTATAGTTGTATACGAGTTGTGAGTATGCTGTTGCATGGATTAGTACCAAATTCTATCGATATCGTTAGGGCCAGAGCTAAGCTCTTGAAGCTCTCAAAGCTCTTGAAGCGTGGCAATTATTTTCATGTGACCAGAAGCATTTGACTTACCTGTCATACCCTGGTCGCCGAGGGCGGGAAACTGCCCGAGAAGGGATGTCGCGACGTCAAAGTAGGTATCGGTTCCTATTTTTATGCCAAGGAATACGGTGGCAGCAAGGAAGGCGGATGAAGGAAATACTTTGATCGTCACTGAGGTTATGACACCGAAAGTAGAGCCGCCTCCCTAGGGCTGTGTTAGAACATTTACACTGGAAAAAGGTGTTGCTTACTCCTCTCATGGCCCAGAACAAATCGGTGTGTTGGCATTCATTTATGGTTATTATATCTCCACCAGGAGTCACAATTTCCATCTCCAGAACTTGATCTGCACCAAGTCCGTAGGTCGAACTCAGTGCAGCATGACCAGCTCCGGTAAGGTAACCTCCCGGACCGACAGTCCCACCGCCACCGGAGACTATGGTGAGGTTCCTTAGATGGGCTTGTTGATCAATATTAAGCATTTGTTCACCGGCGCCAATGGTGATGGCAGCGCCCTCGATTTGGCGTGAAACCGTTTTGGAAAGAGATGTTTTTGATGTGATGAGTCCAAATAGATAATGCTTTTGGAGCCGAAGATCTGGGAATATTAGTAGGGTTCTTGAATACAGACTTGGTTGATTACCTTCCCATATAGTCATGTCCAGTTGCCTTCACGATCAATCTGATGTTGTTCTCTCTTGCAAAGTCAACCCCTTTCTTCACATTATCAGCAGAAGTGGCATTGATGACATAGATTGGATACCCCTCTCCGTTACAAGGATCCGTAGGTTCTGGAAGACATGTATCATTGTTGACATTGTTAAGGACAGAGCTGACAGGATCGTTGGTATGCCATATTGTAGTGTTCCAACCTGCCTGAACGATAGAGCATGCTTCAGTGTCGAAGGTTGATTGGTCTGCATGACAGACAGCACCAGGAGGAGAAGGTTTAAGAAGACGGCCGGAAAGTGTACGATTAAGTTGAGCCCACTCGGCATCACTCGGCCAATCCTTGGAACCCGGGGTCGACTTGCATGTTGAATTGGATGCCGAGACAGCTATCGAAGTAAGAGACAGAATTTGGATAATATAGAAGAACATTGCAATTTAAAGGAGTGGATTGAGGAAATAGGCTTCGAAGTGTAAGTGAGTCTCACTCAGACTTTGAAGACTTCTTGCGACCACCCACTGGGTCAGTCAGAGAGTCTTTATACCCTCCATCTGAGCCAAACCCCCGCATACCTAGATCAAATAATTTGAAAAAGGCTGTCGGGAGACGAGATGATCCGCTGGGGTGGTCTACCCAATACGCGTATTAGTAAGAACCACCCAGTAGAACGGGGACAAGAACAAGACGTAAATAGCATTGCACCAATATTATACGTTTGCACGGGTAGATCATTGTCGACTAGACTCTACTTAGCTGAGGGATCTCCATCGCTTCTGGAAGATAGTCAGCACCATATTTTTGCATCATGTGCATCATCGTGTGGATGGACGGAGCAATTCTGTCCAGAAAAGAGAGCCGACGTTTTGGTGGTTCACGGTGGTTCACTAGTGGTTGCATTTAGCTGCTTACGTAATAAGCGTAGTGGTGTCTAGGCAAATATAAATGAAGAAGAGCGACGCCACTGTTCGAGGATGCGTGCGAGCGTTGGGGGCAGCAGTCGTATGTATCATCTCCCTGCCCTTCACTTCCTATTAGGACATCATCACATCATCAATCGTGCTAACAAAGGTTACAGCTGCTCCATTCTCCAACGCGTTCGCTTTCATCCATTATCAATATCAAAACGCCGCCTCTTCAAATACCACTATTGTCGCCCTTTCAGAATACCCCTAGGCTAGCTCGATAGAATTAAATCCGAAACCGCCGAACACTGTGCAACCCAAGTGACCGCTCCTGTTTAAAAGGATGTCGTCCATGAGGATGATCCTCGCACGCCACACAGCGTGTTTGCGAATCCGTTGGACATGCATGCATGGCATGCATTATTCTGTGTTCGCTTCCCCCATAATGGACCCCTATAAAGTAGAATATGGGTACTCTTGTGCTTTTGAAGTACATATCATGAGTAGTACCCATAATAGGAAGTACAAGACAGAGAAAGTGGCTCCATCATAAGATGATGCGATGTTGGCCGCAACCCGAGATATGTTAATCAAGCTACATCATAACGGCGTGCTGCGGGAACACTCCTTCGATTTACAGCCTCTAAAGGTAGATAGAGAGCTTACCACTCAAGATAAGATGGAAAATTCAAGCCCTGGCCACGTTCTCGAGCCAGTAAGGAGTATACCTTAGATTGATAGACCTGAGATCTGATCAACAATGGTTTCAACATCTGATCATCTTTCACAGAAGAGGAGTATGAATGATGATCCGGAATTCGATGAAGAGGAGTTAATGACACGCAGTTTCCGTTCCCGTCGTGTGCTGTCTCTAGACTCTGCGGAAAAACGTAACAAGGTTCTGAAAGACAACTTCGAAGCTTTTCCAAATAACGACTCGCAGGCCACTCTCAGGCACCTGAAGACCACTTTTTCGATGAATCAATACCATAACCAAATACTGGACCTTATTGACCACAATGTTTACAGCATCATCATTGGAGCCACTGGAAGTGGCAAGACTACTCAAGTTCCTCAAATCCTTCATGAGGATGCAATCCGCCGAGGGGTTAGGTCGAATGCAAACATCCTTTATACACAGCCTCGACACATCGCTGCGACCTCTGTAGCCAAACGTGTTGCTGTCAAACGCAACAAGCCCCTTCAAAAGGCTGTCGGCTGCCACATCAAACGGGATTTTAAGCCACCAAATGACGACGGTAGCATTACATACTGCACGACAGGAATTCTTATCAAACTACCCCAACATCAACCTGATGAGGTGATGGATCGACTTTCACATATCATCATTGATGAGATTCATGAGCAAAAGCGCCTTACTGACTTTCTTATGATTATAATCAAGAAGATAGTAGAGAAAAGGCAGCAGACAAGAAAACAAATTCCAAGGAATTTATGCTGAAGCGGAAGCCGTCTTAGTGAGGAATGAACAATAGAATGTCTTTGAGTTTCCTCACATCGCTCGAAACCTCAATAATCTTGCTCGAGGCAAAACCGCCAAATTTTCAGAAGCTAGCGGGAGATATTAAGATAAAGCTATTGGCCAAATTCCGATCTTTGTTTTGCCTGTCATGGCTCTTGCAGTTCTCATAGTGGATCAAAACCCAACGCCATCTCTCCGATGCTTTTCGTTCACCTCTCCCTGCCTGCCAGAAATTCCATTCCCTAGATGCATTCTGTTCCGGTATGGAAGCACTGCTAGATATCATAAGGCCCAAAGCCCTTCCCGACCGACTAACCCAAACGCCCCTAAGCCCTTTTCAAAATACCGCACTACTCCGTAACTCCACGCGCAAATTTCGCAGTGACGCTCCCACTGCAAGTCCAAAATTACGCACTCACGATGCCCAAAACCATGTTCATGGCCTCCCCCAGTGTCGCCTCCAGTGCCATTCACATCACATCACCGTACACCCACAACAGCAAAGCCCCGCCGCACACCCCGCACAGCATCCAACCGCCACATCGGTCTCCCTCTGCTGTCTCCTGTTCCTGTCTACGTACACGACCTGCGGCTGTGCCACGGGGCCCTGTGGTGTATATCGCGGCTGCGCATGGTAGTTGGACGTCTCGCCGTATCCGTCTTGCTTTTGGTAGGTGGGAGGCGGGACTTCGGTCGCCAGTTGGGGGCGTTCCCAAGGACTGCGATTTTCCTGAGGTGAGAAGGCTGGGTTGTTTTGTGACGACGACATATTGCTTCTGCTCTTTTTACTGATTTCTAAGTCTTGTTACTTGTCTGGTGTTTGGAAGTTAAGGTCTGTGAGGCTGAAGGAATGTGTATGAAAGAAAAGCTGTCGTTTGGTGTCAAAGGAAAGTCGGAATATTATTATATCAGGTGTAGACGCCAAGAACAAAGGTCTGAGGAAGATGACAAGTTATACTTACTATAACGTTGGTATTGACATAAAACAAACAGTTGAGCCCCCGAGGATCGTGGAGGCTGAAGCTACAGAATGCGGCAATGGTGGCGCAGTCGACAACTCACGCCGCAGACCCGATTCCAAAAGATAAGCCTCCTCATATTTCTATCCAATCATATATCGACAGTCTGATGTTATGGCGCATGGCGGATTGCATTCATTCCAGTGGGGTGGGCGAAGTGCCAAAATTATTAAGGAGATGAAGCCCCTATTCCCTCTTCCTTCTATTTCCACAGGGAGGAAAAGGACCACCACTTTGGCACGTGTTCACAAGAAATACTACAGAAATCAGGAACATCGTATTCATTGTTGACATGTATAGTTCCAAGTCTTCTGGTCAAAGATCACTTGATCTAATGAATACTGTTGCCACGGCGCTTCCGAGGACTGCCGCTCTCTGAAAATGTTGGGTCAAGATTCAAGGAATTTTTTATAGATCCAGACACTCAGCCGAGCTTAAACATGGCAAGGTTACGGCATTACAACCACGAAGTACTGTTCGTTTCTATTCTGATACACCGGTACATGCTTATTTCCTCCCAGAACCTCCGCTCTGCGCCGTGCAGTTCTCAAACGTCTCAATCTTTTTTATCCCCATGTTCTTCCACAATGTCCAACTGACACTTCTCTGCGTCGTTCAACTTGGAATCATCCTCATCTTCTTTTTCGTGCTCAGAATCACCATAATCCCAAACGTGCAACTGATCATGCTCGCTGAGCTCTTCCATGTCATCATCGACCCTCTTACTGGCCCAAGCACACGACCCGTCTTCTTGGAATCCACCGTGGCCGCGACTAAGCCATAGGTGTAACAAAGAGTTTCCGTTCTCGTCGATTTTCCGCTCCTCGTCTGGGAAGAATCGGAACGTCATGTCTCCATTGACACCACGATCTCGCGCATGTGCATCTCACTATTGGTGGTCAAACTTTAAAGTCACCCAATGTGTTCGTGGAAGGGAAATGGTTGCATAGGTAAGTCGCTTCAAATTTACCCCATCGGAGAAATGCGGAATAGATTGGTTCGGATGCTGATGGCTGTGCCGAGGGAGGTGTAGGCCGGCTCAGGATTGACTGGGCTTGAGTTTACATAGTGGCGTTGCTGGGAAGTTGGAACGGCAGTTCAAGCTTGGAGGTCCTCCCACGGTGGCTGCATTGCTACCTAGTCCAGTGTGACAGTTATCGGACGCTACTCCATTCGATTGTGACGAAGCTAGGTCGTATTGTTCACTTAGTTTGTCGATTGCATTTCTGTTGCGAATGAGGTACCGGTTCCGTGACTTTGGAGTCTTGTGCCCCAAGTTGCCCCATGGTGGACACTCCTTCTGTTTGCGTTACCGTTATTTGTCGATTTGACTAGGTTTTTCGTGACTCTGAAAATTCACAAGCGTCTCGCAAGCAGACAATCACCCGCGCGTTGAAAACGATATGTTAAGAATTATACTAAGAGCTTATTCATATGTTTTATTGTAGCGAGGGTATTTGCTAGTGCAATCAAGATGTTGTTTGTCGATCATGGAATCAAGACAACGAACGGCTGAGGACGTATTGATGCCACGGAAACAGGGAATGGCTCAAAATGACCTATTACAAATAACCAGAGCTTGTGAGATGTCTTCCTTCCCGTCAACTAATACGTATACTTGAAGTCAACCTGATTTTCAATCTGCTTCCCTCCAGCATCTACCCTCTTGTTTGCCCGGTAGAACTTAAAGGTAAGTGCAGTAACGATTGCAATTATTAGTGCATTGGCAATGAGACAGGTCAAGATACCGGGACGGTAGCCTGGGGAGTCTTTCGCTCGGAAAACACTCGTCCCAATAATACCACCAAGTGCACCACCGCCAATCAGTGTTGCCGAAGTGAAGGCTCGTTTCCATTGCCCGCGAACATTATTTGCCTGATAAGTCACAAGGGCAGGGCAATTGGCATTGCAAGCCGTCGTAGCCAAGAAAACACCAAAGTAACGAGCGGCACTGTTGTGGAGATAACCCAACAATCCAAGGCCAAGTATTCCTGACATATGTTAGCAGTGTGATAATTGGTCAGGGAATGAGGGTGTACCAAGAGCCGCATTTCCAATAATTATTGGACCACGAAGGTGCCATTTGTCGCCGTAGTACGCTTGAATGTACATGATGATAGCAGCGCAAATATATGGAGGAGCAACAAGACATTGTGCCTTTGCAATACTGAATCCCATACCATCTCTGAGAATGATGGGGAGAAAGTAGGCAATTGCATAGGTATTGGTCGTAGTCAGCGTGTACAAGGCCGAGAATCCCCAAACCTTGCTATCCAAACCATTTCGGAGGTAGGATCCAAGCGAAAAGGGTTCTACTCTGATATCATGGCGGTCATGCTCAATACGCGCAACTATGAAAGCAGCCTCTTTCTCGTTGAGGAACTTCCAGGACTTGGGCGAAAGCTCAGGGAAATCGACAATCATGACATAAGAGAATATGCCAAGAATGCAGGTAAGAATGCCTTCAACCTAACAGGAACTTGTTAGCTCAGCTCAGATCACCTAGCTTCAGGTGTACCACCACTAGTTAACGTACTATGAAGATCCAGCTCCAACCCTCCAGACCTGCTCGGCCATTCAACTGCATGAGACCATAGGCAAGGATTCCAGCGAAAGCTGAAGCGCAACTCCCAATCAGATAGAATACCGCGTTTCGTTTCTGGAGTTCGTATCTTGGGTACCAAGTGCTGAGGAGATAGATGCATCCTGGATAAAAGCCAGCTTCAAGAATTCCGAGAATAACACGCACGACTGCCATGACTTCCCATGATTTCACAAATCCAAAAGACTGGAGGATGTCAGCATAGCCCGCCAAAGGTTTGATCCAAGCCACCAATTACTTACGATCATAACAGCTCCCCAGAAAAAGACAATGGTGGCAAGAAATCTTCGAGGCCCAATTTCGCGTATGGCAACAGTTGCCGGTGGTTGGAAAAGGGCATACGGAAGGAAGAACACCAACGACACGATCGTGTAGGCGTTATTCTTGTCATTCATGTTCAGTTGTTTTGTCATTCTATACTATTGTCAGTCAAGCATCGGGCGCTTGTTAGCATTTAGCATACCCAGCGATGGCAGCAGCACCAAGGTTAGTCCGATCCATTAAACTAATCATGTATAAGAATCCTAATGTCAGGACTAGTCGTCGATCGATACGCCAGATGATGGCTCTTTGCTCTTCTGGTGTAAAAGCCGTGACCCGACTATCGGTGGAGAGTTCAATCACCGTACGCTCTACGTGATCCTCATCGAGGCCGCCCTTCTCCCCATCCGAGGTTGGTTCAGTCATGATCCTTGTTCTTTAAAGTTTGAATGTTTGTCGACGGACTTTGTGTACCTTAGTGAAGACACCTGATGGTTAAAATAGAATTGCCACGACTTAGGATGAACTTCTGACTTGGCATGCTGGATGAGCTGGGCATACTTTAATCCTCCATCATCCATTCCTCAGACACCTCTTTTCGCTACCCCGCATTCCAACCCTGGGTAACACAAAGCCCATATGTCAGAGCTGACGGCGGTGAACTGGGATTTCGATATAAAATATAGTATGTGCCCAAGCCTATTCGTTGTTGTATAGCACCTACGTGTCGTACGATAGCGACTCGGCTCTGGTAGGCTGCCTATAATTCGGCGCATGTCATGCACATGCACCCCGAATCTCTATTGGTCGCAGAAACCCACCACAACGTTCATAAATTATAACCTTTATATCGAATTACCGAGAGGGAATTTAATTTAAATATATGATTATTCTCCGACCTGCCGGATATGGAGGTCACATTCGCCTGCTTATTTCGGCCTTGCCCGATAGGGATCAGTGTACTTGAGAGTGGGAACGCCATGCAGCTCATTATGCAGCATCATTGATGCCGACGCGAAGGACGGTGAGAGATATGCTCTATAACTGGTTCGGTATGGCTCTGAAGATGAGAGAGGTGTTGAGATCGAAAACATTCATGTTCACAATGGCCTTTTACGTAGCCGTGTTAAGCCTGCTTATCTGGGGGATTAATTCCATTGCTCTTGAAGGTAATTGCTCAACACCTCAAGTAGATCTGGGCTATGAAATCCACGAAGGCGTTTACAATGTGAGTATCCAGTGCTCCTGTCAGGTGGACTATCTCGGCTGAAGCGTCAACAGGCAACGGGGCAGTTCTACAACTTCTCCAATATCCCTTACGCACAGCCGCCACTTGGAGATCTTCGCTTTCAAGCTCCTGTTCCGTTCGACGTAGATTGCCCGACAACGCCTAAGCCATTAAATAACGGCTCAAGGTTTTCAGTGTGTCCTCAAGGTGCACCAGCCTGGACAAGTGTCGCCGTGAAGTGGCTTACTGAAGGAATTGGTGCTATCAACCAATCAGCGGGCTACCAGCCTCCTAATATCACAACGCTACCAACTGTGGCGTATGGAACAAGTGAAGACTGTCTTGTGCTGGATATTCTTTCACCAAAAAATATCTTCGAAAGCAGAGGGCAGGGACGAGGAGCTGCAGTGTATGTATATACGATTTATTACCCTAACTATAAGTCCATGCTAAAAGGCGTAGGTTGGTATGGATTCATGGAGGAGGTTACACTCTAGGTTGGAAGACTCTTTATGGAAGTGGCGCAGGATTGGTCAGAGCCAGTGAGAGTAATGGGAAAGAAGGCGTGATATATGTGGCGATCAACTATCGGCTTGGACTCTTCGTAAGAACTCGCTCTTCTTATATTCATCTATTATTATTATTATTATTATTATTACTAACTAACTCCAGGGTTTCCTCTCGGGGCCCACGTTTCAAATGAATGGAACAGCCAATGCTGGTCTACTAGACCAAAGAATGGCGCTCGAGTGGATTCAACAGAACATTGCAAAGTTCGGCGGAGATCCTCATCGAGTTACAGTCATGGGAGAATCGGCTGGAGGTGGGAGCACAATCCACCAAATTACTGCTTACGGAGGTTCGAGGGGACCAGCACCCTTTCAACAAGCCATCATTCAAAGCGGCGCATTTCTCCCAGTTCCCACCAACAAACGAAAGGAAGACCTATTCCAGCGCTTTTTAGCTACGGCAAATGTGAGCACCCTGCAGGAAGCGAGGAAACTGCCCACTCATGCATTACAACTTACCAATGCAATTATGGTTGGAGAAGCACCGTATGGGGACTTTACATTCAGTAAGATTTCCTACCCATCTAGCAACCTGCACGTATATGACTTTCCAACTAACGATGCGTTCATAGACCCCGTCGTCGACGGAAGTTTCGCACCAGCTCTTCCCGGCCCCTTGCTCCTCGACGGACAGTTTGACAAATCGATCAAAATAGTAACCGGGCATAACATCAACGAAGGAATCTTCTTCACGTCGCCCTTCGTCCCTACGCCCGCAACCTTCGACCAAAACGTCATCCTTGTCTCCTTCCCCAACACCAATGCTAGCAACACGCTCAACTACATCACCCAGACGCTCTACCCGCCCATCTTCAATGGCACCTACAACTACACGAACCAGATCGCGCGCGCCGCCGAGATTGTCGGCGAGGCGCTGTTCTCCTGTAATGCCAACTATCTGGACCGCGCGTTCGGGAATAGGTCGTATAGCTATCAGTTCAGCGTCGCGCCGTCGCTTCACGGCGACGACGTGCCGTATACGTTTTACCAGAGCCCGAACAGTGCCGTGCTGAACGATACGCTTGCCGTTGAGATGCAGGAGTACTTTACGAACTTTGCGATTAATGGCGATCCAAATGGAGGTGGGCTGCCGCGGTTCCCAACGTATTATGAGGATTCGCCTGATGGGATAGTGTTGGACTTGAATGTGTCGTCTATTTCGACGATTCCGGATGTGCTGGCTAATCAGAGGTGTGCTTGGTGGCAGAAGGCGCTGTATTTTTGAAGATTGGGCATTACTGCTAGGCTACTCCGTACGGCAGCGCTGTTTGGTAAAAACGCTTCTTCTCAGATGCTAGTTGCATCTCATGGTCACATTTCTATTACAACTAGTCGAGTCGCCTTCCGAGGCCTAAAATACACATAATAGTCCTTCCTTCTTTACTTGTTTCGCTTGATTGTAATAGGGCCAAGTAATAACTCACCACCGTAGAGTACCTTCCTCTATATCGCAAGCATCGTTGTCTTCCTCCTCTAAGAACCCATCAATTATTTAAATTATGCGATGCAAGGCTATCGCCAATTGAGCCGTACTCGGCTAAACCACTTCAAAATTCAGAGAAATGCACCTGACTAGCCTTCTCCAGTTTTTATGATATAAGTATCCTAGGCGCCTTATGGTCAACGCTAGCTATAGTGCATTCTTCGTAGTAGTAATATAATATTCTGATGATCAATATAAAAAGACGGAGTAAGTAGGCATGTCACTTGACGTGGAGGTTTGGGGGTCAATCGTGTGCGTGTACCCCTGTAAACATCCCGGAAATGCATGGTGGAAATGCATGGTTTGGAATCCTTCGTATTTTCCCCCCTTCCCTGTAGCCAACATAAGCTCCTATTGGTATATTCATCGGCTATTAGTCTCCACACTAGAGAATACAATACTATTGGACTTCGAAGCGACAGCTCTTCAGTTCAAACCCCTCATTTTCTTGCACCGCTTTTTGAAAAGTCACGGGAATGATCACGTTTCGGCTCTCTAAGTGGGGCGAAGTATAAATTTACAACTACAATTCAGCTGAGGGGAGCACGGCAATATGTGGTGAACAGCCGACACGTGAGTCCTCTAATATCTAGAATAACAGAATGGGTATCTGGAGTGGTATTGACAATGCAGAATCATACAACCAGTTTTTAATAGTGTAATAGGAAAAGCTTTATACAACTCATCTCTTACTACACGTGACCTCAGGTCTCGCACGTGGTATTATTATTTCTGGCTTTTCACGTGATATGAGCGTTAATAAGGCTGGATGCATATAATAATTTTCCATTTAAAGAGCTTTGCTTAGTATTTGAATCGAAGAAAACTTTTATACAGATATGTAAAAGGCACATATATTCGAGATTCATTTAGGAATCTTCTTTCCATCCGAGCCTAGCAAAGTCGCGTTTTCTGGATTGCTGAGATCGCATACCCTAAACCTCTTATATTAGCCCAAGTAAAACTTATCTCTCTATGACTTCTTACCACTTCAACCGTATCTATGACGATATACCGTATCACTTTGACATTCCTGCGCTGACCAAGTCTCAAAACCCGTGCAACAGCTTGACTTTCAACCATAGGGTTCCACTGCGGTTCCAATAGATAGACGCAGCTGGCGATGGTCAGATTCAGCCTTAGATTATAAGGTTAGTGAGTAAAGGGTTCACCACTTTGGAGTCTGACATACCCTACTGCCCCAGTTCCCGTTGTCATTAGCAGGACTCGAACATTTGGATCAGAGTGGTAGTGCTGTAAAACATTGTGTCTCTGAGCCGAGGAGTAGGTACCGTCGATCCTGTCGAATTGTATGTTCTCTAGAGTGAGGTATCTGCCGACCAGATCCAAGGATCGAGTCCAGCATGAAAAGACGATACTTTCCACTTGTCAGCGAAACGAACTTGAAGTTTCTGGTCTTGCCAAGGTTAGGCTGCCTACCTTTTGCCTTCCGTCGTATTCTGTTTGAGGTCCATGACTAGGCTAGAAAGTTTCGAAGACACACCGCGTTCTTCGAAGTATCTCAATTCCGTTTTCAGATTGCTTCCGGCCCCCTCAGCTATTTCCTCGTCACTTGCTAGAAACTTTCGGCTGATGTCTCTAAGACATAGTGGACAGCGTGAGGTGGATTTTCCAGTCTTTAGTCCTTCTTCAAATCGTGGGAGGCAGCCTGAACATAACAAATGGCCACAGACAGTGAACTTGCCACTGACAATGTCTTCGATATCTTTCAAACCTGTGACATGAGTATTGCAATAGGCGCATTTCCCTTCACCCCTCTCTTTCAAAAGAGCAAGAGCTTCTTCAGGGTCGAATGAAGCTCCTTCGGCAGATATATGAGAGAAAGACCTTTGAAAGGTTCCGTGATTACACAGCCGACGAAGTTGCAGTTGAAGTTGGAATATTCCGAAATATCCTTTGGTATTTCTGTCATGACTGTCGTGTTGCTTGATGGCCTTGATCATTTCCGCTTGAGTATTGCTGTATAGTGACTTCTCCGAGGCCGTGAACTCGATATACCGATCTTCATCGGACACCTCAGGTAGATGAAGCAATTTTTGAGTCCTCCGTAAACATATAGAGTCCAGAAGAAGGCGAATATTATTCATACCCTGCTCAGTTCCTTTCACGAGTGGAGAAATGATATGCTTCCGAAAGTCGGGAAGACTGTCAAGTGGTCCAGCGCGAATGAATGCAACGAGAGAAGCAAGATCCTCAAGACTATTTTGAACGGGTGTTCCTGTCAAACACCAGCGAAAATTTCCTGGTATCTTTGAAACTGCTTTGAATACTTTTGCAGAACCATTTCTCACGGTATGAGCTACACCTTTGAGTCAAAGCCCGATCTGCTTGGTTGTATATAAGCATTCTCACCTTCATCAAGAACAACACGAAACCAAATTACTCTGTATAGCGCGCTTTCTGGTTGAAGCGATTCAGCTGCAATAGTTGCATACGTGCTTAGCACGAGATCAGAGTCAGCGAGGGCGTATGGATCCACTTCACGACCTCGACCGTGATATCTCGTGACATTCAAAGATCCGTCGCAATGGCTACATAATAATTTGGTTAAATTCTCAGCTCTTTAAAGGGTGACTCTCTTTCAAAGTTTAAACTCACGTCCTTCTTGTAGCCACTCGTCAATCAACACTAATAAAAGGTTACTAGATAACCTCAAAGCAACGTTAACAGTGGCAAACAGAGTTGTACTCACATGGTGAAGGCACAACGACAAGTGTCGACCTTGAAATCGCACGTTGCGAATTTTCAGTCTTCTCCGAAACGAGGAACGCACTGCCATCCTGATTCGTGGCAAAAGATCTTGCACGCTCACTTGTTCGTATGATTGTGGAAATGACTGTCAAAGTCTTCCCTAAGCCCATATCGTCGGCTAATATGCCCCCAATACATTCTGTCGGACATTCCGTAGTCTTTAGACCCGTGATTGAATGCTCATAGCTAAGGTTTCGGATGAGCACACTGATTTGAAAACGATACATTTACTGTGTTCTTGACTCACTACGACTGATTCTGGCGGATTCGTGATTGCCACAGGCAGAATTCACTTGGGACCGGCCCCAGTTCTCTCTGTTCCATGAAACACAAAGCTTCTTCTTGATGACTTCACCTTAATGTTATGGAATGTATCTCGCGGTTGGGTTTGGGAACTTACGGTAGCAGCTCTGTGGTTATTCTGATATCCGCTTCTATTCTCTCGAGTTTTTTTGAACGGGTCAATGAATCATACACGGTGGCCATTCTTCGGCGGAGTTGAGATTGTGTGGTAAGCTCGTCCACTGGTTTGTTATTAAAGCCAAGGATATCTTTAGATATAATTTGCTTTCCACTTTCCAAGCTGCCACTTGAAGACTGTAAGGCAGAAGAAAGGCCATCAAGTTTCAAAAAATGTGGGTTATCATAATCCGTATCAGGTTCCTCATAGCATGGATGCTGCAGATATATTTTACTATCGGAAAGCAAAGTGCCAATCCCGGTGCGAATCGATTTTGAGCCGTAAATAATAATGTCGATAGGGAAAAAGTTGTGCTTTTCAGATTTGCATAGACTCTCTAGTAACGATCTCCATTCTTCGAATTCCAAGTAGGCGTCAAACCGGCAATTCGACAGAGCTGAGATGTCACGCAGGACTTTGGCAACCCCTTCATTCAAGACTGCAAACCTTTCCTTAGCGGGAAAACTCACAAAGGCGCACCCATCTTTGAAGGCAAGCTCAAGAGAATAAAGATGATCTTCCTTCGAAAGGTCTTCCCCGGGAGTTTCTCGAGTGACTGTGGCTGGATCGAGTAATTTTACTCGCGTGTTATGAATCTAGCGATCGGTCAGTTTCAAGATAATTACTGGACAATGAACAGTACGTACCATTCCAAAGCATGTATTGTTCTTAGCTGCAGCCCGCGCATTTGCAAGGCCATCAGATGAAAAGTCTCCTGTAGATTCGAACGGAATTGAAATTAATGGCGGGAGTTTGTTAGCCTCGTCCCATTCTGTCGATTCCACGTCGCTTTGAGTTGATGGACTTGGCGAATTGGGCGAGTCGGGATTTTGCTGGGATGTATCTGGCGATTTTTTTGGCTTCAATCTCCCATCGGTGCTATAGCCCAGGTTGAAGGCCTCTGAACTAAGTTGGGTCAATTAGATTCGAGTAAGATTCGTTGGTATTGTAATGGTACATACTGTGGGCCTACCCTAACCAGAGGCTCAATTGGTTCTGGTAGTATATTGTCGCTATTCCTCGCGCTTTTTTGACGTCTGATGGTTTCAACTGAGGCCCCTGGAGGTAGTATGAGCACTGGTATGCTGATGACATTAGCTGACTCCTCCATTGATACGCAGAATACCAAGAGTATAATCCCTTCCTGATCATTAGGAACATGTTCGCAAAAGAAGAAAGACGGGAGGGTGGCTTCGTCTTTAAGGGAATAATCATAATAATTGGTGAGCCGCAAGGTCAGTCGTCAGCCTCACTTGTCTTACACTGCTTCAACCCCGCCACCCATCTACAGACCCCTGTCATCTGCACACTTACACCCTGCTGGGTAGCCTTCTACGGGGTACGGATGTACTACAATTCCTTGAGATGTGACTACCAATTATTCGCAAGATCCAATTCCCATTTGATAATATCTAGCTTTTCTACGATCTGTTTATGCAAATATTAGCTTCTCAATTCCTAAAGCACGGAGTAATGCGTGCCACGTTCACTTAACTACAGGCTGCAGCCTGCAGGACCAGGAGTTGAGTCGGCCTTGCAGGGAGGCTGTAACCGCCAAGCCTCTTTTCTGGCTGAAACCACAATTTCGACATCAGCCTGACTCGGTGATGTGCACTTCTCGCTTTCAACTTTTGAATTTGAGATCTTGTAAGCTCTACCCGAAGCTCTGCGGTTCAGGCCTGGCTTATTTCTTGTGGAGGATTATTATTACGCGTGCTATGACACCGTTATGGCATCAGCTCACGATGCATTCGACGACGTGCTGTCCAAGTTTAAACTTCGACTCACCGATAGAGAGTCTGAAGACTTCAAGTTCACATCGCTAGAAGATGTTCGAGTGGCTTTAGTCGCTATTCAGGACGAGCAGGGCCGGAAGAAGGAAATGATGAATCTTCCAAGACTCCAAGCGTTCCTCGAAGCCATGGAGCAATATGGAAAGGTTGTGGAAGTCTTTCTGAACGTCTCGTCAGTTTTATGCTTTATATGGGGTCCCATGAAGTTTTGTCTCCAAGTTAGTACCACGTTGATTTTTCACATTGACTTTTAAGGGTTAATACCGCTCATCTTCCTCTTGAGTGCGGAAAATTCTTCTAATCAGCTTGTGAAGATTGCAAGTGGATGGGCCGAATCCTTCGAAATTCTGCTCGATGCCTATAAACAACTTGCAGAAAATATACCGCTTTTGCAACAGTTTCAGACACTGTTTGAATCAAACCTACAAATGAGCAATGTTCTCTCCATGATATATAAAGACATTCTGGACTTTCATCTGTCAGCATTGAGGGTATTCAAAAAGCCGAGTAAGTAAGACAAAATATCTTCTCTATTTAAAATGTGCGGGTCTAACATTAAAAGCCTGGAAACAATTATTTCGGTCGACATGGAAGGACTTCAAAGCTAGGTTTCAACATATCTTGGACGATCTTCGCAGTCACAAGGCACTTATCGAGGGGCAAGCGAATCTTCTTCAAATCGAAGAAGTTCGAGTCGACCGAGAGAGAGTCCGCGAATCTTTTTCCTCCATTGAGAAAGCAGAAAGAGATAAAAAGTTTCTCGCTGTTAGAACTTGGCTTGCGTCAACTGATGCAACTGTGGACCAAGAAGCAGCTGCTGGTATGCGAAAAGACTACCCAAATACAGGTCGATGGATATTTGGAGAAAATGTTATAAAAGCTTGGATGGATTCTACAAGTTCTCTGTCTAGTGTTGTTTGGATCAATGGAATACCTGGTGCTGGTGAGGCCCTTTGACTACAATCTGCCTGGTGCGCTCTTTAAGTTGTTACCTTTAGGGAAAACAATTTTAGCATCGCGAATCATCGAAGAGAGGCTGCGATTAGATCAACAATCAACAGTTTTCTTCTATTGCAAATATCAAGATGAGCAAAGAAGAACATTTCTTGCCATCGCCCGGTCAGTATTATCACAGCTCCTTAACGTTCACGACGACCTTTTGCCATATTTGTACGACCAGTGTATTAGCAGTGGTCAGGTCTCCTTGGTCTCGACCCAGTCCGCTGTGGAGCTCCTCAGAACGTGTTTGGAAACGGTTCCCCAAACCTATATCGTGATTGATGGTATCGACGAATGCGAATATTCGGAAAGAAGGGCCATTCTTTCATTCTTTACCTCACTCATCGACAATGATATTACCCCAGGACGACTCCGAGGTCTTTTTGTTAGTCAGGACGAGAATGACATACGAAGATTACTCCGAAAAGCATCAGTACTGCGACTTACCGAGGAACACAACAAGTCCGATATCGAAGCTTATGCGAGTCGTTGGTTGAGCAAAATTGAGCTGAAATTTGAAATACCGGATCTCACATTACAACACATTAAAGCAGCAGTCCTCGGTGGATGTGAAGGTAAGAATGCCTCACACATTAGTGACAAGATATTGTTCCTATTGCTTATAGTTTTATTCACATCTATCAGGAATGTTTTTATTTGCCAAGCTTGTCTTGACAAATTTGCATGACCAAGTCTCCAGAGACAAATTGTTTGAAGAACTACAGCCTGAGACTTTTCCAAAGGGGTTTGAACAAGCGTAAGCGGGCCTATAGAAACAAAATCTTGGGATTTTGCTAAGTCATATAGATATTCAAGAATCGTGAATCGCATACTTACCAATCCGAAGGCGGGCGAAAGAGTAGTGACTCAAAAACTCCTGGGTTGGATTGTCTCTGCCAAAAGGCCATTAAAATGGCACGAGATCCAGGGAGCTGTATCAATCAACACAAAGGATCGGTTCGTTGATTTTGAGAATAGCCATCTCGCTATAGATATTCGAGACCTCTGTGGCTCTCTCGTGGATGTCTTGCCGGGCGACAGAGTACAGCTCGTGCACGAAACAGCAAAGTCGTAAGTCAAAATCAACAAGTTCAATTCCTATTTCTAGAGTATAGAATGTACACCTACTAATGGGTCTTAATGCAAAGTTATCTAATACACAACAATTACGTAGAAATACACGTGGAAGAATATCGACTTGCTGTTTTATGCATGAAATATTTGACTTTCGACTGTTTCGACCCCGATGCGCCAGAGGAACGCGTAAAGGAATACCTGATGAATGGAAGTTATGCATTTCAGGATTACTCCGTGCTGCATTGGGTTGATCACCTGGAGGAAGTATTGCGTTTTCTGGAGATGAGTAACATATCGAAATTCAACCTGCTTGGTCCTGCAGTCAATGAATTCTATGATACATGTAGTGTCGGCGGGCTGGAGACGGACGAGATCCCCCAAGAACTAAGAGAACGAGGCAAATCAATCAAGGACACTGATTTTGTTGATAACTTACTTCATCTACTCAACCACACAAGAAAGTCCCGAGCCGCGGATGATCAGCTGTCAGGACTCGGAGACTTTGGGAAAGTTATCAACAGGAATCGACAACTTCTTGAGGGTTTGAACCGATCAATGAACCTCACCACAGTATCTAGGCAGCAGCTGGAGAAGTATTACGGTAATAACTGGAACAAATGTCCCCGACAGAAATGTTTTTATTTTCACGAAGGCTTCCCGGATACGATTCGTCTGAATAACCACGTCAGCCGCCATGAGAAACCCTTCTGCTGCACAGAATTTAGCTGCCCGCGAATACACCTCGGATTCAGTACTGAAAGAGAGCTCAAGAGGCACATGACACTTCAGCACCCCGACCCAGCAGCTTTTGCCTGGAGATTCCCAAAGATCAAACCACCCGCTACAAAATATAAATGTGCTGAATGTCCAAAGCAATTCACACGAGCTCACAGTCTCAACGTCCATGTAAGAACTCATTCAGACGACAGAAGATTTGGGTGTCGCTTTTGCACCAAGTCCTTCGTACGCAAGTTTGATTGCGGCAGACACGAAGAGAATTTGCATTCGGAAAAGAAACAGGAAATGGGAAGTGATTCTATGACGGTGCCTTCCTCCCCATTGCCGGATTGCTCTATTTCAGAGACTATAGAATGATCAAATAAGGTGTTCCACTGCATGAATAGAATATGACGTGGCACGGGTCAACCACCACCATACCATGGCTTCAGAAACACTTGCTTCGTCCAATATGGGCTACAGGGAGGTTTGAGTAGAATGAGTGAGGTGCACTATGAACTGAAAACCATGGGACAGCTTGTTGAACTCCCAATTAAGTGAGGAACCAGTAGCACGACGACCTTTTGCAAGCATCTCAACCTTTTTGCAGGCGTTGAAAAGAAAGCTAAACGTTGGATAATTGGGGTTTCCAAGGCGTCATATCAGACAAGGGAGCGGGTGACTGGACACCACTTGTCAATTCGAGTGAGTATTTGCGCTAGGAGGAGGGTTGAGGCCACAAAATGAATACTGAAAGATTTGGTTTTAACTATAGTTTTAGTGAGTGCTCTTGAAAATCCCGTATTGCGAGAACTTCGTCCTAACCGTTATTGCAGAATCAACAAGCAGACTGGGTTTAGACCTGTAAGGCTTTTATTTCAGTGCGTTAGTAAAGAATGGTGATGATGGGGACCAATGTTCAGTTGGTGGTTACAAATTGGTGCCTCGCTTAAAAAGGGGGCGGGGCAACGACCAGCCCATTCGCCCAAGCAAACAGGTGAATAAAAAAAACTAGAATGGAATGACATAAAGAAGAATGATGTTAAGTTTTTAGATATGCGTGGTATATTATACTATCGACATGCTGTATTATACCAAGAATGGCATATTTAGGCAGTGAGAGTGGTTAAGTGCTTCGCGAAACGCTAGGGTTTAGTGTCTTGGCGTTATGTCCCGGACCTTACCGTACCTTATTCTATGAATAGCGTGATTGCGGGAAGTCTAACCTGAAAAGGCAACCAGAATAAGCACATCTCAAACGGCTCGTCAAACTGTCAACTTCTCGCGGTCCCCCGCGTTCTTCTCCCACGACCTATACTCCGACTTCAATATATACCTTTTCTCTTTTATGCTTCCTTTTATTACCTAGCTCGTGTCACTCATTAATATATTATTACAGTTCCTTTTCTTCGATTATGCTGAGGCGAAGTTCTCGACGCTCCCTACACAATGTCATTATTGCTGCAGTCATTATATGTATTATCTACCTCCAGCGACCGATAGCGCCCGACAGGCCTGCAGAAGGAGGCGGCGGCGGATTTGAATACATCGAAGAGTTTCTACCAAAAGGATGGGGGAAGACAAGCAAGATACATGCTGTGAAAAGCAGCTTCGATTGGAGCAAGGTATCTCGCCGAAACCCCATACCATCCAGGATCCCTCTTCCCAAAGGCAGACCACACTCCCTCCCACGAATACAACATATATTCCCGAAAGAATCTCGATTCGACCTTGCACAATTGGAGTCGCAGCGTCAGTCAGTACGGAGGGCGTTTCAGAAATGTTGGCGGTCTTACAAAGAGCATGCTTGGATGCGAGATGAACTTATGCCCCTGTCTGGCGGCAGCAAAGACACGTTCGGAGGATGGGCCGCGACGTTGATTGATAGCCTGGATACTCTGTGGATTATGAGACTGGAGGCTGAGTTCAAGGACGCGGTGGCTGCCGTGGCTACCATTGATTGGAACTACACGAACAACACCTCTTGCAACATATTCGAAACTACCATCCGCCATCTTGGGGGACTTCTATCAGCGTATGATTTGAGCAATTCGCAGGTATTATTGGACAAGGCTATCGAGCTTGGGGACATGCTCTATGCGGGGTTTGACACCCCCAATGGAATGCCACCCTTTTGGCTCGACTTCGAGAAAGCAAAGGCAGGGGAGCTAGAAGCAGATAGCCATGGTCCAATTGCTTCACCAGGTTCCCTCTCTCTGGAGTTTACTCGATTGTCACAAATCACGAAGGACCCCAAATACTATGCTGCCATCTCGCGAATCACAGATCTGATTGAAAGGCATCAAAGCACGACCCAGATTCCCGGAATGTGGCCCACGATGATCGACTCGCGAAACGAGGGGTTCAATCTGCGTGAATTTTCCATTGGCGCTCTGGCAGACTCTCTATATGAATATTTCCCGAAAATGCATGCTCTTATGGGTGGGCTAAACCCCGTGTATGAGAAATTGACCATATCGTCACTGGACACAATCAAGAAAAACGCTTTGTTTCGACCTATGCTCGCCCATGGGGAAGATATTCTATTTGCAGGCAGAATGAGAGTAAATGAGAACGGAGGTATAGACTTGGTACCAGAAGGGGAACACTTGAGCTGTTTTGCTGGAGGCATGTATGCTCTGAGTGGGCGGCTTTTTGGCCGCGACGACCATGTCGATTTGGGAGTGAGACTGGCCAGGGGCTGCAGCTATGCATATGCTGCTTTCCCAACAGGCATCATGCCCGAAATCTTCAATATGTTCCCTTGCGAAACATTGGATGGTTGTGCATGGGACGAAGAGATGTGGGAATTGGATGGAGATCATAATCTCCCGAAAGGATTCAAAAACGCTCGTGATCCATCTTATCTTCTCCGGCCAGAAGCCATCGAGAGCGTTTTCCTCTTATACCGCATCACAGGACTGGTGGAATTCCGGGATGCTGCATGGAATATGTTTCAAGCGATTCAAAATGCTACTGAGACGGAATTTGGAAATGCTAGGATTGAAGATGTGACTGTTAGTGGGAAACCACCGAAAAAGACAGATTCCATGGAGGTAAGCTTGCAAACACAAAACTCTTTGGTCTTGGTACTAACACATTTCCCTAGAGCTTCTGGTTATCAGAGACACTCAAGTATTTTTACCTGGTGTTTTCTCCACCAGATCTGATCTCCTTAGATGATTATGTACTGAACACGGAGGCGCATCCATTGAAACGATTAAAGTAATTGAATTTTGACCGCATACAGACACTACTTGGGCTGGAAAAGCGATATATCCTTTGATTAGAGCACAACACAATAGATTCTATTCAACTTTGGTTTTGAAGTAGAGAAAAGGGCCACCCTTCGGCGGAGTGCATTCTCGAGATATGCGATGACATCGACCTTCCCCAAAGCGGGAATGTAATTGATGGTATGGAGAGGAGACGGACTTCGTCTAAGGTATATATGATCTGGTAAAGCCAAAAAGTAGGACAGAATTGAATCAAAGCTTGAAAATGATGCATATGACATGCTCTGAACGGGTAGAAACTCTAGAAGAAATAGACGGTTTAGTTCTAGCAAACAGAGAGAAAAGGAGAAAAGGGGATGAGGATAATGTGATTCATGGGGACAATCTAGCAATGCTCTTAAAACTAGGTATAGTCTTCTGCTGACTTCCGACCAAGTTCTGTAATCTTTCAAAGTCGGTTTCCGTGAAGCACTAAGTTAATGCCCGTGGTTGCTGCTGCTGAATAACTAGGAATTGGGAATTGGGGATTAAAATATTTATAGGGTGAAGACCAGATTTCTAGGACGCGTCAGCCTTCACTTGATAATTGAGGGGGCAAATGTGGAGAATAATATTGCCGAATAAAAGGGGACGGGGGAACATATTCAGGTTAGCACGTGACCCGATTAAGTTGGATCCACTTTCATCAAGCTTCCAAACTTATTTATCATTCCCCAACCTCTTGAGCTCTCCGCAACGCAACCTCGCGCTCTCCCGCACGCCCATCAACATCCATACACTTAAAAGTTATACACGCTCTGTTAATAACACACCACTGCACACCTCTCGATCTCACAACCATGGACCTCCTCTCCTCGATCCGCAAGTCGGGGTCGCGTGGCGGGGTAAACTTTTCCTGGGACGAAGTTAGCACCTCACAGCACCGCGAAAACTACCTGGGTCACTCGCTCATGGCACCCGTCGGACGCTGGCAGAAAGGACGCGACTTGAACTGGTATGCGAAGGGCGATGACGAGAAAGGCGAGAATGGAGAGACGGCCCAAGAAAAGGAGATTAGGGAGAGAAAGGAAGAGGTCAAGAGAATAAAGGAGGCGGAGGAGGATGCGATGTCTAGGGCTCTTGGTCTGCCGGTTGCGGATAGAGGGCCTACAGGCGTGAATGCTATCAGTGTGGGGGAAGTGAATCGGATGGTTAAGGAGACGGAAATGGGAGGGGAAGAAGGGGATGATGTGGGGAGAGGAGGAAAGGCATTTGGGAGTTTTGTGGGGAAGACTATGGGTGAGGCTGTTATGGAACTCGAAGCCACAGAGCCTGGACAGGGTGGGCTAGCTGGTAAGAGCGGAGAGAAAGAACGAAAGCGGGACGATAGAAGTAGGAGTCGGGAGAGGAAACACAGAAAGCATCGGCATCGGTCGAGGAGTGCAGACAGACGTCGACACAGGCGAAGACATGACGAGCGGGACCGAAGTCGAAGTGTCGAGAGACGTGAAAGGAGACACAGAAGTCGGAGCCCTGATAGAGATAGGCGGAGACCTGAAGGTGAAGAGCGAAGACGACACTCGGATTACAAGCCCCGACGGAGCCGTTCGCCAGATAATCGGGACCGTAGAAGAGAAAAGGATTTCGATAGGCGGCGGTGATCTCGGAAATAAGCTATGTCTCAATCGAAGAACATCCCAACCACCGATGATGAGTATGCCGCTCCGAAGACCCCACGAAACGAAACATCAAGAGGGATCATCAAAAGGCTAGGTTTTCCCTACCTAGATGATCGAACTGATCGAGGAGTAAAGATATCCAGGCGATGTCAGCAGCGTTTTCAAGTACGTTTGACAAGGGCAAAGTAGCATTTGATACCCAAGCTACATAGGTAGACAAAAACTATGAGCTATTGCGATTAGTACTATAATACTAACATTTAACCTAACAAACTGCTATCCTCTACAATTGATACAATTTATTCTCCCATTACATACCGCGAAAAATTACGCGCAACTATATGGGAATTTTGTTTGGTCTTAGTCAGGTATCCAGCCAGTTCTCGAGATCGAGCTAGGGAAAGGGTGCGTACATGAGGACGAAATCACACCCCTCAAGAAGTCAATCTAATCCAATACCGTCAATATTCTGAAGTTAGTTGATGGTGTTCCACAAAATCCTTCGAGTAGAGACCCTAGTCAGTTGTGCTTGCCTAAAGCGGATTTAATGGAGGCTTTGACCAGGCTGATCTTCACGTAATCGAGCCACCTCACTTCCAAAGTGCTCTTACTTCAACCCGCCACAACATGTGCAATATTCCGACAGATATCAGTGTCCAACCCATCGCCTATTGACGATGCGCATGTACAATTACCGGCCATGGATCGGCTAATCCGCAAGATAAAAGGCAAAGGCAAAGGCAAAGAGCCCGAAATCATATTGCCCAAATTCAAAGCCCCAGATCGCCTAACACGCGTGCACCTGATCGTCGACCCCGACAATCCTACCAGATATTCATACCACTTGCATCCTTTGATGCCGGCACTGTATCATATGTTTATTGATGATGAGAGGGGGTTCAATCCCGTGCTAGAGAACGTCTCCATGATATTGCAACGGGTATTTGATGGCCGCGAAGTTGGCAGCGCTATTTTCGAAAGAGAATTTCCTGACGAACAAACTCAGAAAATCCTCGAGGTATGTTTGGAAGGCGACATTCGAGTCTTTGTACAGGCTTCATTTCAGCCAAAGCTTATTCTCGCAAGGTGGTCTATGGAAGTGTCGCTCTTTGATCGCGAGAATTCTTTAGATCAATTAGAGAATACGTGGCTGGAGGATAACTTAGATGAGAATGATGTTCCTGCGAAGAAAGTGGACAAGGCGGTGGCAGTAGTGCGACCTCTGAATAAGATAAGTACTCACGACGACGTCCCACCACCGCCTTACGAGGAGAACAGGCCACCTCCGGAGTACGAACAGGCCACTAGTTCGAAAGAACATTATCAAGTTCTCCCAGTCTATTTACCTACCAAGGTAGAGAGCTCCGAGCCGCATACAGAGAAACACAAAAATTACTACGACTCATTCCCCAATCCTCCCCCGACTTGGGGACGAGAAGCTGAATTTGTGTGGGGACAAGTGTCTTCGCGTGCGCGGATAAAGTTGACTTGCACAGCAAGGAAAGAAGTGTTTGCAGAGTTTATCCAGGAAACTGACGCGAAGAAGATGGCGGATGGAGTCAAGGGTCAGCTTTTGTTTAGGAAGAGCTGTGGCTGCCTGTGGGAGACGGCTGTTCTGCTTACGCTGGGAACGCTGATGGAACTTTCGAAGGGGAAAGTTTGGGATGAATGATATGTTAAAAGTGCTAGGATTGCAAAAGAGTCATTTTTGTGGACACTGGTCATTTGGATATATCCTTCCCCTACCTCTGGTACTTGAGATGGAATGACGACGCTATTAGCAAGGGTTGCATTTGAGCGATTCAAGGATATGCGAGGCCTTGTTAGTGAATTTTCCAGTGTTAAGGATACTAAGGCTGAACGGTCTACCATACGAATTGCTATACATTAGCCTGGCTATGGGACTACTTTGAAAACTATGAAGTCCTGATTAGGCTTAGTCTCAATCGTCCTCATCCTCCTGCAGCTTTGCATCTTCTATATCCTTGTTTTATTTCTACTGGAAGAGTATATTACCCATAAGAGGAATATGCTAGGCATATGCTAGGCTAGATTAGGAATAGTTTTATTATAATTCGCTTATACAGCGCGCGCGCGCCTCTATAGCTGGCCCAGTGTAAGATCTTACCTAGGTACCTACGTATAGAGACCACTCTCGCTAAAGCTCGGCCAGTGTAGAGAAGCATAGACATTTATTTAAAGTGGGTTCTCTACACTAGCTGAACTTTTAGCTACACTGGTTTAGCTGTAAGCCCCCTATAAACAGGCAGCAGTAACGGATTAGTCAGCCACCCCGTGTCTTGGATCTGCATCGAACTGCACAGCCTTGTTTGCAACTCCCATCTTCATGCTTTCGTTCTTCTCATCGCTAGTATCTACTGGCGCATTGATAGAGATAATATGTCTATCTTATTCACCATCAGCAGTCTACTAGCAACATCTATCTTTGGCGTAAGTTACTTCGGACATCTGCGAAAAGCAGTTGCTAATGCAAACGCCGATCAGTACTTCATTACCCATGCCTTTTACAACGCGTTCTTCCATCCGTTAGCAAAATTTAAGGGCGCGAGACTATGGGGTATGTCTAGGATACCGTTCATCAATGCTATGCTCTCTGGAACCCTTCCGTTTCGCGTCAAAAGTCTTCATGATGAATATGGCAGCATCGTGAGAGTTGCTCCAGATGAGTTGTCCTTCACAGATCCCAGAGCATGGAAGGATATCTACTTGAACAAATCATTTATCCGTCCAAAGATTTGGGGCTCAAGACCACCTGGAGTTGAAGCCCACAACGTGATATCAGCTCCAGTCGCTGATCACGCTCGGTTTCGTAAAGCCTTCCAACCCGCTTTCTCGGAGAAAGCCACACGAAACTACGAGAAAACTGTTCAACACTTTAGCAACACTTTAATTTCCAAGTTGAAGGAATACACAGTCAAGGATGGAGGGGAAACTGCCGTCGTGGATCTGGTACAATGGCTGAACTTTACAACGTTTGATATTATCGGCGATTTAGGCTGGGGCTCTGATTTTGGGTGTCTTAGGGATACTCAATATCACCCATGGATCGCGGTGGTTCTCCATTTCAAAGCAGTTCTAATGGCAGTTTCTGTCAAGTACTACCCGTGGCTTGAGGCCTTTCTAATGAGCATCACCCCAGCGTCGGCATTGGCCGATCTTCAGAAAACACTTGCCACTACGCATACGAAAGTCAAAGACCGCTTGGCACATGAACCTGAACACGCAGATATTATGTCGCACGTCATTGAACATAACGAGAAGTTTCCAGACTCATGTCTCTCGCAGGAGGAAATAGAAGCGAATTCGATGGCCGTCGTGGTAGCTGGAAGTGAAACATTGACTACGGCTTTGACTGGGGCCGTTACCTACCTGCTGAGAGATCCCAAAGTCTTCAAAACCTTAGTCGAAGAGAACAGGGCAAATTTCTCGTCGGAGGATCAAATTTCGGCTGCATCCACTGCATTGCTTCCATATCTGACTGCGGTACTTCACGAAACACTTCGCCTTTGTCCGCCTTTACCAGATGGACTGCGGCGTCAAGTTCCGAAGGGAGGTGCTGTTATCTGCGGGCACGTTATTCTGGAGGGTATGACAGTTTCGGTGCCTTGTTGGGGTACTTTCCGGTCCTCCTCCAATTTTGCCTCTCCTGATGTGTTTTTGCCACAACGCTGGCTAAACGAGCATTCCCCCCAATTTGAACTTGATAACAAAGCTGCTTTCCAACCTTTTTCAACAGGGCCTCATAATTGTATTGGACAGCCGTTGGCGTGGATGGAGATGCGTCTTATACTTTCTAAGCTGATCTGGAATTTTGATATTAATGCTCCAAAGGGCATAACTGTAGCTGATTGGACCACGCAAAAAATCTATTGGACATGGGAAAAGAGCCCATTAGAGGTGGAACTGAAGAGAGCCAGATAAATTTCTTCTTCTGAATTTCCGCAATAATCTCGCATTGGAGCTTATTCAAAAATCTGAGGATCTGGACATGTCTTCAGATGATGTTGTTGCAACTGCGACTTGAATCACAGCCCAAACACTGCTTGACCATTACTACCGCTACGCTCCTACACACACTATACTTTTTTTAATTAGTGAATCCTGGATTAAAGATTCTAGCGTTCCTAGACATTTTATGATAGAAGGTACGCCTTGTGATATTCTTTGGTCGCGGAGAAAATGACAGTTCTAATCCCTAGTAAACACATAAAACTTATTAAACTCTTAAGACCGCTTAGTGATTACCGTAAATGCAAGAGGAGAAACTGCAAAGTAAATTATATTCTCTATAGCCTCAGTGAATTGTTCTAATCTAGACTACCGCTTGATTGACCAGAGTTTCTTGTTTATCAAATCCTAGTGAACTTTTGAAAACAGTAAACTATAGTTTTACAGCCCACCTAGTGCTTCTCGTCGAGAGGATGAATTCTTGTCAAGGTATGGTCTTTCTCCAAGAGACAACACGCGATGTGCTACTCGCTTCTCTTTATAATCGCTGAAGTAAAATATATTAGAGTTCTGCATATATTCAAATAGTATGGTTAAACTTACCCAATATCTGTATGGAAAACGGAGCGACTTTAAGAATATTATCAGGATGTTGTCGCCAGTCATAAGAATTTTTTAGAAGCGAGTAACCTACTTATCCCATATCGCCAAGTCGTTTTGATTCCACTTGATCCGAACTTGCAAGTCATAGTTTGATGCAATGGTTTCGAGGACTAGAAAACAGAAGTACATGGTTAAACGTGAATATATCAACTTAGTATAGGTGTAACTAACGATAGCCCTTGATAAGCTCGCTTTCTCGGTCAGTAACGTTATTAATCCAGCCGTGTTCAACCTGTTGTCCCCCACCAAAGATACTCTTCCAACTAAAGATAATTAGCACAAGAGACAACATGAAAGATTTATGGCTCTTTTACCCCGTGACTGGGTTCGTCCGAATGACGGGACTAATATTAGCCAGTCAGCTTCTTGTATCTCTAGAATATACTAAGCGCGGCTAAAGTCTAAACTTTGCCTTACTGTACGGCCTGGAAGTGCGTTCCAGTGTTTTCTGGTGTTCCTCTGTTTTCCTCGATGAGTTCGATTCCTTTCTCTGCAACTATTTTGTTGAAAGACGGCTAGGGAACAAAATGATACGGTTAGAATAGATAAGCTCGTAAGTGGAATAATAACTCCATACCTGGAAATGAGTCGCTGTCAGACCCTCGAGAAAATCCTGCCACGAGGGAGAAAGGCGGTCGTATGCGTCGTAACCAGAAGCAAAGAGTGTATCTCCGCCTACTTTTCCAGGAAGACTTACAACCTTTAGAAGAGCATAATCTGATGGAATATTCTCAAAAGTGATACTATATTAGATCAGTTTGTCAGATTTCGGATCTGAATTGCTTCACAATAATCAAAAGCATAGGCCTGATAGGCTTACTCAGAATGCCAAACGTGATTAGCCGTTTTTCTAGGAGCTCGATCAGCAAACTTGTTGCCATCACTTTCTCTAGGTGTCTAGTAGCCGAGTTAAATATAACAAGCACTGATTTGATGGATGGATAGCATACGTCGGATGAGACAATAGAGACCTCGTCATCGAGGGTTCCTTTGTCGTCTACCGGAATCCCTCTCTTGCTATTGCTTACTGCATGTTTGTGTAGCTAAATGATTATTTTACTTAGATAAATGGCGAATGCATCCCTCAATCCCATAAGCTACTAACCTTCGACGTCTCGGGTTTGCCAGAAAGCTCTCCTAACTTTTGAGCTAGAGTCTTTTGCTCTTCAATGTTAATGTCCTGGTTACGGAAAAAGACAACGCCACGCTGAGAAACTATTGAAGATAAAATTAATTATGAACATGTTCTGACATCTGCTATTGGGAAAGGCTACCCGTTATAGCTAGGTCCTTGATCTTGGAATCGTCTTTAAGAAGCTCCGTAAGCTGGACTGTCGGAAACTCTTTCCCGATCACTGTCGTCAGGTCAAAGGACTCGTATTGATCGAGGGAACCCGAATAGACTAGAGGAGTAGGGTAATGCTTCGAAAGAAGGCTAGAGGGTTCTGAGTTTATAGTGGTTTGCAAAGCCTCGGGCTCTTCTCGAACATGATGAGCGACAGGACTATCCGCTGAGGGTGGCGCCATTGCAATAGTCGTTTGCTTATGAATAGAGGATGTTTAGATTTGACATAACATATGAAATAGATGTGACCTTTAAAGATTATATAGGGCTGTATTTCGTAGATTGGAAGCTACCAAAGTCAGTGATGGTGCCATAACTTAAGCCTCTTTCGCCATTAGCAACAACAGTGGGATGATTCTTAGATCAGGGATCAGGAACCAATGAAATCGGCAATGGTGCTATAACTTGAGCCCTTTTCACCATTGTGAGGGGCAAAAAACAATGGATCATAACAAGAACATTGTAAGAATACCCCTCTCAAAGTCTGTGTCGCTGTTCAATCAGAATCAGATTAGTATCTCTACTTCTGGTTGCTCTAGGGTTATTAGCTCAAGCACTTGGAGGTAAAAATGTACCCAAAAATCCAAATTTGGCTTGTAGTCGGCTTCGCAAACCCATGGCAACTGGAGGTTAGTTACCTGTATCTTATTTACAATGCACACATAAGCACCTTTCGTTCCGTAGAAGAGTTGAGCTACTTCGATATCGATCGAGCGGAGATTTTTAAGCCTGTCGGCGCCGTAAGGTATGTACAGATTAACCTACTTCATCTCATTGCTTTTCGGGTATAGGATTCCATTATCTCTTGGTACTGTATGAGCTTCTGCCACTGGTCTATCTCAAAAGCTGTCTTCCTTGCTCAAGCATCTGCATACTTCCCAGATGGTACACGAAACTTTGAAGCAAAAGACTCACGTATTGGCTACTCGCCCATTGGCATCGCGTTTTCCATGGTTGTGGAGCTGCCTTCATTATGAGTCTCATTGGTTTTGGAATTGGGAATATCAATTTTCACTTACCGGTCGTATCTATGAACTGTGCTGCGATCAGCGCCGTAGTACACGAGGTCCCAAAGAATAAAGATGCGGACTTTGCTATAATAGTCATAATTAATGGCCTAATTATAGGTTCTTATTCTATATTGTGTTATTCTCTTAACTAATTTTGATAATTTGATATTTTAATTAGTCTTAACTCCTAAGATTACTGTTGTAGCCTGTAAGTGGCAAGTGGCAAAGCTTATAAAGCCTGTGGCGAAGCTTAGAAATAGCTATTTCTAAGCAGGTGGCAAAGCTTAGAAATAGGGCTTGAAGAGCCCTATATATACAGCATACTTCCCACTGTAGAACAGCAGTCAATTCAAGTCATTACCCCTAGACATAACAATTACCCTACAACCTTCTATTCGCTACCTCTAAATTTACATAATTCTTTATACAACACCTTAGCTAATCATACTGGAGCTTGGTCTTCACTCCTTTATGACGAACATATTAGTCTTAGACATATAGAAGTCCCCTTTCTGTCAACTTATCAGTACTTTTCTATATGGAAGCTTTCTAGAGCTAAGAGATTTGTAAGTAGTACAAGCGCCTTAGAATGAGACACATGTCGAAGGCCAAGAAGCTCTCAGCTCCAAGAGCAAAATAGAGGGCAAACTGAGAGTAAAATAAAACGAACCAAATAGCCGATCATCCTAATTCATTATTAGCCTTCAGTCATGAGGAATAAGCGCTGACAGCCTGCCAAAGTCCCTATGCCATATCTTGGGAGCTCACAACTCTCAGAGAAGTCCCAAGATATGTTCAAAGATTCTTTGAAATCATAGTAGAAATCAGAATAGAGTGCAATATCAAAGGCAAAAGAAGCTCACCAACTCCATGGAACAAAGCTTCCAAGCTGCCCTGTACCACCATCTGTTCCTATTGGTACCAGCACTATTCATAGCTAACAGTTAGCAATCAGCTACTAAAGGTAGCCGAGGCAAATACGGCAGTTATCAGCACTTGAAATTTCACTTACTTCCGTCTAGAAATGGCAATCTCAGTGGCTGTCGAAAACCCACTTTATTAATATCGACAGCCAGATTCTTTACTACACAGCTGATATGTGACTTGATGACCGCGGCCATCTTCTTTTGTCCATCAACAATATCACCAATAGCGTAAATATCGGAGACGTTCTTGACGGCAAGGTTTTCATCGCATTCAACCCATCCGCTTTGTGAGAGCAGGGAACTGGGGATAAAGCTGTTGTTTGGCACTACTCCAATAGCTGAAATGTACAGATCTGTTTCGAGAGTTGAGCCATCGACGAGGACTACAGTCCAGTCATTGGTCTTTTCATTAAACAAGACACTTTTGACCTAGAGTAACCAAGTTAGTTTCATTTTCCCGTCGATGGTTTTGCCCGCCAATAATTTAGAATAAGATACTCACTTTGTGCCCTGACTTCACAATTATGCCAAGCCTATTGAGTTTCTTGCCAGCTTCGATACTGGCCCTTCCCTTTAGATCGTCCAGAAGTCGGAAACCAGCGAATACCATGGTCACAGTTTTATCGGGATAGGCATCTGCAATTTCTCCAGCTATCTCGATTCCCACAGGACCGCCGCCTCCGATCACTATCCTTGAGGCATTGGCTATGGTTTCTTGTGCTCTAGGAATGCTTTCTCTTAGTATATCTACCATGGTCTGTTTGAATGGTATACATGGGTCTGCATTTCCGCTGTGAGTATGACCTGACGGATGTGATCAGCATTATTTATAAACAGCGAACCCGTGAGAAAATGGAGCTCTTCTTGAAGAGATGAGATGAACATACTTCCAGAAGCAATTATAAGATAGTCATATTTCCTCAACGCTCCATCGTCCGTGGTAATGATTTTGCTTTCCGGATCAAGTTCAGTGACGGAGGCATGAACAAATTCGAACTGGGATCCCGGGTGCTTTTGAAATAGGTTTTCGATCGGAATCAGCAATTGATCAAGCGGGACATCTTTAGGTCTGGAAAGAAGCCGAGGGGACGCTATGTTGAAGAAATAGTCTGGGCTGGTGCTAATAAGTGTCACTTTAACGTCGGGTAGCGACTTGAAAATCTGCTTTGCTGCACCTAGACCACTATGCGAGCCGCCGACTATAATCACTGCAGTCACAGGCTGCATTTGAACGCTAAATTTAACTCAGTCTATGTTCCGAAATTATGTGAACCGTTCCATACTTTGACCTTCACGTACCTGTGCTCCGACCACGGACTGAATCGACTAGAAGTTTGTTGTGGAAGGAGTTGATCCGTCGAGCTATATCCAGCGAGGGGGGAGATCTGTCGCTAGTTATAGTAGTTTTGATAACTACCTGACTTCTATGGGTAATGAAAACATGCCTGTCCCTTGACTTTCTTGACAGCCTGAAAATTAAGAGAAATATAATCTAAACAACATCGGTCGCAACTTCCTCTGCAAAAGATGACTGACCAAACCGCCCTTCAGGCTAACAGTGAGCAATTGGACCCTTCATTAGAAGCTTTGACATTTTTGATCAAGAATCCACTTTATGATTACCATTCCTACTAGCCTACCGATGATACGCTGTAAATTCTCCCCGCAGGCGAGCATCGTTGCCGCTACAGGGGCCACCTTCCTATTTTAGAGATCCCGTTCTCGCGACTCTCCCGAGTCTGGTCAAATATCCGAAGGCGTTTGTTTCTGCAAGTGTTTCAGAGACGATATGCGGTCTAGACTCTAAATTTTACCCCTTTTCACCTGACATCGCATTGTCTGGACACTACGGAAAGAAGTTCAGCAACTAAGATTTCAGGCATAGGAACCCCCCTTTAGAACCAGGCTAGGTTACCCACTGCCGTAATCGTAATTGTTTCAGAGGAAAACCCCGGATACGACTCTGCTGAGCCATTTGATTGGCTGAACAACTTTACTTTTTAACTTCATTACACTACCCTCATTTTTAGTCTAGGATTTGGTACAGGGGATTATCAGCTAACCTGCATTTCCCACCTTATATGGGTCTCGTGACTCTCGTCTTGTTTGATCTCTTCAAGGGAATCAAAAACGTGCGCAATTCATAAAGTCTATACGGAGCTTTCCTATCCGATTTACAGGGGATTTAGTACTACATTGACAAGTCTTATGCTACTTGAGAATACTCTCTTCTATAAAGTAATTGAAGCTATTTAGAGTTATGAATCAGAGCACTTTCCTTACTGTCTGAAGATGATTTTAGGATGATATTAAAGCGGGTAAACACCTAAAACCGAATTTCTACTCCCCCCCTCAATAAATGCTAAATTGTGGTTTTGCTCCATAAACCTAGAATCCTATACAACTGAATAGCTGGATGTCCTAGCAAGTAGCCTGCCTGCTCTTCACGGCGCAGGGTACTTGTAAGGTTCTTGTAAGGTCCCACTTGCTTTATTAAGGGGGGGGGGGGGGGGGGGAGGGTATATAAAATAGACTTTTTTGAGTACACACGGACCAGAAATCCATAAAAAACATAAGTACCGGTAATGACCCATATTTTAAGCTTCATGTGCTAGCTACTAGCGTATATGCTTCGTACTCGCTTTATGTTTCAGTCCGACAGTAGAGACTGTTTAGCATAGAAAGGATAGACCACGCACATATGACTAGCTCTTTACTTCAGTATAGATCCGTAGAACCATAATAAAGATCAATGCTAAAGTAATCTTAGAGATTTAAAGCCTTATATTCTATTAGATCTAAGCTCTCGAAGTGGCGTAGAGGAGAAAGTTACAGAGTAGAAAATGTCTCTACTATTAGACGTAAAGAGAAAGCAGGTAAAATATTATAGAATTATACACTAGTACATTTCAATCCTCTAAAGAGTCTGGTCTGCGAGACTGCATAGACGGGGACGGGAACGGGACGGGCCACGCGCTGAAAATACGATTTCAAATGGCAGGGCAGGTATATGCATAATACATATGCCTAAATAAACACAATACTGTCACATACGACCATAGACTGAGGAGAATTGGGCATCCCGTCCGCTCTGCCATACACAAGCCTCAGATCGGCAGATTAGTAGTTGGGTGGGTGACCACCAGCGAATACCTGCTGTTGTATGTTTTTTTTTGTCGATTTTCCCTTTTTGCTTTTTGGTTTTAGCCCCATTTGGTACAAGATCCCAGCCCTGTACGAACAAAGTTGGAGCAACACGCCAAAAAGAAGAGGGGAAGGAAGAAGGTCTTGTCTGCAGTATATTAATTACTCCAGGATGTGTCTCTTTAGCGCCTCAGATGCAGCTCCTAACGCCATTAAAAACTCCAAGGGTATACCCACCCAGACGCCTCTTCCAAAACCGTGTCCTAACAATCACGTAGGACTTATTCCCCCAGCTGAGTTCACCCCCTTACTTTTTCTCCTCTTCGGGCCCTTGACACCTGGACTCTTCGTCGGAGTCTTCTCCCCTTTCAAGCCCTCCTTTTTCACCTCAAGCCCCGTCGTCTTCAACGACGGCGGCGCAGGCGTCCCTGTCTTACTGCCGATCCCGCCTCCTTTCCCCACCACCGGAACAGCTAGTTTATCCTTCTCCCTCTCTATTCGCCCAGTAGTGGTGAGATGAAATGCGCCCGGTTCGCCTGTAATGGGGTTCTCGTCCATGTATTCCTCACCGTATTTCAGCGTTATGTTTAAGCTCTCTTCCAGCAGGCGGGAAGATAGGAAGGTAGAGTTGTTTGTTAAGGGTAATGCGGCTTTTTTGGATGTGAGGGAGTCGGGGAGGGGGGTGTTCTCTTTGCCGGTTTGGCCGAGGGGATCTTGCGATTCGGTGGGTTTTAGGCGGGATGTTGAGGGCGGTGGTAGGTAGGTTGTTCCCAAGGCTGGGGTGAAGGATGGAAGGGTTGTAGCGGTGGAGAAGAATTTGTTGAGGGATGTGAGGATTGAGAGCTTTGTTGTGTTAGTATTGGGTAGGCGGAAAAGGGAGAGGGGCATACTGTTCGCGAGCCCAGAACATCTGCTACTGCAGGAGCCATATATATATTCTCCCCCACGACAAAATACGTAGAATGCAACATAATCTCATCCTCTTCATTCTGCCTCTTCCTCCGGGTCTGTTTCCGTATAACCCAGACCCCTGTCCCATTCACAGGATCTGCCGGTTCCTGCGCAACCATGAACTCTAGCCCTGACATTGTTTTCAGGCGTCCTTCGAAGGCTTCTCGCGTTTGGATGACGGGCAGCATGGTTGGGTTGTAGAGCGCTTGCGAGAAAAGGACGGCGTTGTTGGAGGTCTTGTCGAAGAAGGGGGACTCGGCGAAGTAGAAGAGGACTGAGTTGGAGTGGATGCCCTGCATGCTCATTGCTATTTGCGGGGAGCGCCATTGGATTTCGTCGAGGGGGGCTCTTGTGAGGCCATTGTGGACGGTTAGGATGGCAGTATATGGCAGGTTCGACTCTCTTCATACAATACTGTTGTTGGTGGTGTTGCTGGTGACACTACGGTACATAATTCAATGCCGGAGACTGAGGTTGATGTAGGTAGGGGTAGATATTTGGCGAGTCAGTTGATTGCCCCACTTGGCGCTAAATGAATCGTTAAGGCGTCCATACCACCATGTCAACTTCTCACTTCCTTCGACTATAAATCATTAGCGATGAGGGCCACCACCGGCATGGATTGCTCGAGAGATGGATAAGCTGGAGCAGAGAATGCCAGGAGCGAGACCGTTCTATCATTCTCAGTCCCGTGCTTTCCAGGAGTAGAACTTCGACCACATCTGGATCATCCGCTGGGTCTTGATCACACCATGAGCATCAGAAGCACACATTAGTCACCGCAGACGCAAGTTTGGGATGAACTATCACCGCTCAAAATAGCAACGTCGTGAGGACCTAGGCCGCCTTTATCAGTAGAAGAGGCAGTGACGAGGTGGAATCGATGGAGTGTATCTGCCACCTGCCTTGCTAGATCTGCACCGAGTTGCACGTCACTTTGCAACTGGAAGCGATGTGTATATGTTTCCTATTTCTCCCTCTATTCCCACAGTAATCTTATTATTTTTCTCCAGCAAAAGACTTCGAAGCTTCAGTTTCGTGATCACTCTGTACTTTCTGGATCTGCCACTTGATGTCCGCCTTCATACATTCTTATGTCTCATACCATCTCTATCGCAATCCGTGACGGGCCTAAAACCCCAGTCAGAGATGGCGAGAATTTTGCTGTAGGTGCGTGGACAGTCTTTTACAATCATTAATGCTTTTGCAGGTCTAGATTATGCGCCTCCGAATCTACCTGTATCGATCGATCGATTCTCCATCCACTATGTATTGAAAGAGATATCCGAAGAATGTCTTCCTATTCTATAGGGTAATAATACACTGGCTGGCTACCTATACCTCAATTGTGCAATCCCTGATCCACATCTAAGCAAATTGAAATCGGTAGCCTCACCCAAAACGCACAACATCTCTTCCTTCCCTTTTATTTCTTCCAACTATATTGTCATCTAAGTTGGGACTCGCCCAAGCTACCAGTTCAATTTCTCCCCGATTAGTTGAAAGAGCAGAGACTGAAGTCTTTCGGAGAGTTACTGGCCCTGCTGCCCGTACTTGAAAACCAAGGCAATCTTCAGGTACGCATGCCACGGTATGACAAATCGGCAGAACCTTTCTGATCGAGGATACTTCGCTTACATGCCGGAGCGGAGAATACTTATTTTGTTTGGCGCTTAGAATGATTGCCCTGACCTGATTCTATATATACACCTGGTGCAACCCGCGCTCTTCTTGTTGTGGAGATTTTCGTGCGGCTGATTGGCTTGGCCAAAAGGGTGGTGCTCTTAAAACACACACCTCACCTTACACTGCATGACCTATTTACACGGAGTAGGCATGAATTTTCAGCCCCCATTATGACGGAGCATGTGGCACAGTACGATCCCACACCTCCATATGTTACAATGCCCTCGCCCTCTAAATTGAAATTTCACAGTTTTAGCTTCTAAAAAAATCTAAAAATGTTCAGGAAATTCGAAGGTCCGTTCTGGTATATCTATATCCAGTGGCCAAATGTCATTGATGCAATAAACAACTGCACAGTCCCAGCCGACTCGGCTTCAAGATGGGGAGGTCGTGACAAAACATGTTGGAATCAACTAGATTGCGCCTTGACGGCCGCTGATGCATCTCAACAACAGCAATATTCAAGTGCTTCTACAATTCTCGGACTGGTAAGCTTATTTACTCTTCGTGTAAGAAAGGTTGAAAATACTTCAGGCATGCTCACGACTTCTTTAGTTACCCACCGTACTTTCAATGATGGCAACATCAAGTGAAGAACTTCTTCAAATCCACCACCGATATCCCCTCCTGGCCTTCTTGCTCGCACTTTGCAACCCATCGACCATCTTATCCAACGTCCGCTCAAAACATCGTCCCAATTCCGAAAGGCTACGAAACGCCAGGGATATGCTGAACTCTAAACGCTCGCCAGAGTATTACACCATGATTGACAGGTTCCTAACTATTCGGCTTCCCGGATCACACAAACAATTCAAAATGAAAGATTTCATCTATGATCTTATCTTACACATTGCTGCGGCCTTCATCGCGTCAGTCATGATCTGGCAAGCCCTGCTGCTGGGAATTAGAGGCGTGATAGTCTTCGCGTGCTGGACATGGCACGAGCCTTTCACCTGGGTAGGAATCGGCGGTCTGGTCCACCTTTTACAAGCCATCGGATGGCGACTATGCCTTGGGCCCATCAAAGCTTCCGAGCCATGGTCGAGATAGAATTGGAGTCTTTCGCGCTCCGGCGGGAACCTGTTACTTGCACATCCTCGCATTGCTCGCTTCTTCGATCTCGTGTTCCAGGTTATCGGGTTGATGAATTATGGGTATGGCACTGTGATGTTGAGTGGTACTAGTCTGGTGAGTCCGAGTAACAGCCTGATAGTGTTTTGTCTCATGGGCTTTGCGAGTATGAGCTCGAGGCTGCTGGCTATTTGGCTGGTGGAGGTGTGGCCTGAAGTGCCGGTTGAGGAGAATGGGATTGCGATGGGGGATTTGAATGAGGGTGATGGGCAAAGTGCGGTCAAGCTGTTAGGGGTTCAGAGTGGGGAGATGCCTGAGACGTAATATCATATAACTGAAATCGCATCCGTAAATTGCAAAATGACTAATACTACAATTTATTCTATCTGCCATAAAGAGCTATATATACACCATATAAAGGAGGATAGTGTCTTATAAAAACTTCCATTTTTACATAGTGCTCGCTACTCCTCTCTCTCACTCTACCCAGCAGTAGGCTTCCTTAATCGTAAATATAAGACTCTAAGACTCTAAGTAGGGATCAAAGTGAAGCTCGTACCAAGGGCAGTTGTGCTCATCGCTCTTCTTATCCCTAGCAATAAGCTTCCCCTTTCTGATCCTATATTCCTTTTCCTCTCCCTACCATAAGAAGAGTGCGGTCTTTGCCATATTGGAGTTCATGGGTGCGGAGTTAGTCACATACTAGTATAATACAAGTCATAAAATGCATCTGAGCCCAAAGCTCCTGTTCAGCTTGCATGCAAGGCTACTCCCATGTGTGCCTTGAGATACTCATCAAGAAACATAAAGGCAACAGCCTTCGCTCCGGGTTTTCTTACACGTTCCCCCATTCAACTCTACACGTTTTTAGGCCTGTGTAACCTCACATCACGCATCGTCCGCCTCACTTTTTTAACATCCCGGTTGATTTGCCCTTGGCGCATCGCCCTCAATATTACCCTCATGCTGACAATTATCAACGAGAAGGAATGGACCAATTATTCTTAACACATTTTCTAGTGTTGCAACCCAGGTGCCGCGTCTGTCAGTTTCCAGATACCACAACAATGGCCCCTCGAGCAAGAGCGCTTGGAGGGATGGTCCCTCCACTTCCAGCAATCTTGCTTCCCGGAACGTTTCAAATTTTCGTGAACATACGGAGGTACAGCGGTTAAGTATTGACACAAAGCTGAAGAATACCCCCCTGCAGCGATCTGGATCTCAGCCTGTGTAGGTATTCTATCTTTTTCGATATGACCACATACGGGCGACGCGTGCCTAAACAGGATAAGAGTAAGGGCTTTGCAAGGGTATATTCTTTTAGTACTTTCAGCTTTCTGTCAATTATCAACCGCTGTACCCTCCGTAGGACATTTAGCAGCCCTATTGACCAAGGGTTAGAGGGACCAGGAAAGGCTGCGGCATTGATGGTTGCCTCCAGTTGGAACCCTCCAACCAATAACTTACCTGACTGTTTTCTAATGGGCGACACCATATATTCCAACGCCTTTGATCAAGGAATGGTATATCCCCCCTCCGATGCCATTTTTAACATGCCAAGACATGGATGTTTATGAACATCCATTCCTTCTCGGATCCGGATTTCATTTACTCCGTTGAGCAGCCGTCTTCCCAAACATTCAACACTGCTCCCGTTGTCCAATGCACCCAGTCTGGCTGTCCAGCCACATTCAAACGCCACTACGAGCGCTCTCGCCACGAAACCACTACCCACGGTGTCAACCAAGGATCCCACCTTTGTCCTGTTGCCAGATGCCCCAAGAGCCAGGGAGCTGGTTATTCGCGTGCTGAAAAGGTCAAGGAGCACTTGTGGAAGAAGCATGCTAGCCTTGGCTACACGAAAAGCCGGTAAGCGGTAGAATTTGGCGGGTTTGGGTGGGCGATCAAAGTTGAGGGATTACTTGCAGTGTGAATCTTATTGAATGCGGTCAGAGTTAAGTAAAATATGATAATCCAAGATTTGTTACTTCTTACGTATGCTTTCAAAATTATATTTGATGATTAATTCAACATTGTTGCCTTTATATATTTTGTGGCTAGTCAAGTTCATATTGTCTTATGATAAGTGACCAATTCATTGTATCTCTCAGGTACACATTACCAGCAAGGTTAATATTATTCGGCTTGAATGTTTCACAACGAGTGAGCGAAATCAAAGAAAAGGGGGGGCAAATCACGTGACCTGATAAGTGTATATCAAAACCACAATTCATACCATACCTAATAGGGCAACTATGGTTTGAATCCCCATCAATCCCTCTCCGCAAACCTTGAAAGCTTTAATTTCTATCTACTATTATGGTGGGGACCAAACGGGCTGTCACGTGAAGTGGGGTATGCAGCTAGTACTGCACCGTACCTTGTAAAATCGGACACTTCGATGAACCTGGACCATCATCTATTCTACAACACACTCTTTTATACAGACTATTTAATATATATATATATTTATACAATGATGAAACTATAAGTCATATACTAGCCTAGAGTCCGCGGTTGTGTTGTCCCTCCACACTATGAAAGCGATGCATCTATGTACAGACATGAGATCCTCCAAGGTTATCAATTTTAGCGATTACTTATTCTCTTGTTACAAATATTAACAATAAAAAAATTATTATTC